ATTTTGCTTTGGCTTTATTGATACAATATCAGAAAGCACTCTGTTTTGCGGATATAATCGTGTGGGCTGAAGAAAAGATTATATCTTTTTTTTTCCGTTTTTTTAAATAAAATTTCATCCTTTTTGTTATTTTTTTACTTATTATTTCCCCCCCCCTTTTTTTTCTTCATATGTCTATAATTTTTCTTTGTTTTATTCTTCATTTGGAACTTATTTATATATATATATACTGAAAAAAATAATCTCGAATCAAATTACAGGAAAAAGTACTGGCGTTCAGGATGCCATTACTTTTCCCCTTAATATCGTATACATTGCACTTGATACACCGTTGTTTTTATATAATGTCATATTTATTGTAAAATCACTGTAATTAAATAAATATTAATGTAAAATTCACGGTATAAACTTTAACGGTAAAATAGGTTTTATGACAAAATGAATTTTTCGGATGCTGCGTTCAGGATACCAATACTTTTCACCGTAACTTGATCCGAAATTCTTTGGAGTGTACATAACATTAGCTATAATCTCTTAAAAGAAAAATGCATGCCGGAAGAAAGTGTATACTGGAAATACGATAAATAGTTTGTAGAATATGTGATTTCATTGAAAGCGCTATTGAAATTCAAAATTTACTACATAATACTTTACTGTATTCTGTAAAATATTTTTTTGGTTTTTGGTTTGCAACATAATAGTTTAAAAATTTGAATTCTAAAATCGTTTTAACCCATTATTTTTGTACACTATGAGCTTCCAGAGAATGTCAGATAAGGAAAATTAAGCTTTTGGATAAGTTGTAATTCTTTTGAAGTACTTTTTAATATTCCTGTTTATTCATTACCGCATACGGTAAATCATTTCTTTGGAGATTTGATCTAGAAAATCAAAAATGCTTGTTATAAATTGAAACAAAAAGAAATGATAAATAAAGATAATTGAATATCCAAGAAATGATTATTTGTTAAAGATGATTTCTTAATTATTTACTGCAAGAACCATAGGGGTATTGCTCCTATTACATGTATAACATGTTACTACATGTATTGCTCCTATTACATGTATATAGAACTATTTCTGAGTATTTAATAGTTCTTATCTTCAGAATTCTAAGACAGGAATGAATTTTACTTTCTTTCCCACATGATGACGCTTTCATTATCGTGAAGTCACTTTCAAAGATATTAGCATTTTAAATTAAAGATATTGGCTAAGATATTAGCATTTTACTATTGCTAAAAAATTCTTGTATCATTTGAGTAATTTCGGAATGTATTGGACCATAATCTGATTCAAATTTCTGAAACTTTAATATGAATTAACTTTGAATTAACTTGAAAATGAAACTTTATCATTTAATTGAACAGCTCTATCACCCTTTTTAAACTTAATTACGAGATGCAATTTCCTTTAATCTGAAAAATGATTAAATTTAACGATTTATTAATATGCCAGCAAATTTTTATTGCACAAGTTACCGACTTACTAATTCAAAATTATCTATAACTTTTCAGTGTACAAATAATGGAAACTAACTAACTAAAACATTTTTAATAACCATAACTTTTTTTTCGAGCAACCACACGTAAATTAAAAACACTTTATTGTTATAAATGATAAAAGATCTAATCGAAGTATCCTAAAAATAATAAAAACTTATTTTTTTTCTTTACAATTCAAATTTCTGTCTATCTTCTTTTGTTTGATAACGTAATAACCAATAACATCATTTTATTCACTTGTAACTTTAATCGGATATCTATTCTCTTTCAGGCATAACAGAAAACTTAGGAAAGACAGCTATGAAATGTCCCAAAATAAAAAGAGCCCTTTTCCCTCTAAAAATAGTATTATTTTGTTGGTATGGAGGTAGGTTTCTGATTTGTTCTTCTTATTATTTCCTATTGTGTCTTATTATTTCCTCATAATAAAATTATACTTTTTTATTTCAAGTTAAAAAAATTTATCTACTTACAATTGTTAGTTTTAAAATTATTCAAGCAATCTTCAATGAAAGTGGTTTTTAATTAGTTTATTAATAAGATTTCGTTATTTTTATGTATTTCATTACTTATTCTACATCCATTATTTGTCTAAAATATAAACACTTGATGACAAAAATATATAAATCTGTATGTGAGTTTCTAGAAAAACATTATGTTCTTCTTAACACTTTTTTGTTTCTAAATGATTTTTTATTCCTTTTTCAATATTCGTCTCGGATAAAATAATTCCATCTCTCATCTCATAAAAACTCACGTCAGTGAATATTACACCACTATCAAAGAACTATGCAACTAGTACCAAAGCTAGATGCAATGTAAAGACAAGCAAATGATTTGAATTACGAAGCAGGGAGGACGAGAACCAGCTTCTTATCAGTTTTGTATCAGCCTAGTTTCGTGTATATAGAAAACTATAAAAAAAACATGGAAATCAGTCTTCTGTCTGCGGTTTAATTAGTGATCAATATGCCTCGTTAAACGTGAAGAGCCTAATGCAACCAAAACAAAATTCGATCGAACTACTGGTTACCGCTCTCTGTTTCCTGATTCAATTGATACGTTATGAACGTTTCTTGTCACGTAACCTGTACGATAGTTTAACTTTGAAGGCTAAGTTTGATAGAATTTTTTTTGACCTGTCATAAAGCAGATATTTTCTGTTTAATGGCTGTGATGGAGGACAGGAAGATAGAAACTTAGTTATAAGTTAAAAATACTTCAGTGACAATTTTATATAAATAATACGCTGATTGAATAATCATATGCTAGTTTTTAATTAAGATATGCAGATTTCGAGATATTTATTTGCATTTATAAATTTCTGGATTGAAATCCAAAACCATGACTCGATCCTTATCAGTCAGTAGCCGCTTTAAGTTCATGTTTTTATTTTTATTTATAAAAATAAATAGCCAATATTTGATTAGTTATTATTTCCTACAAAGTAACTGCAATCATATTATCTAATTTCAGTTCTTGATACGGACTTACGTTTTCTGATCTGCTTAAATGTATGTGTTTTTTGATGCTTAAGTTTTTTGAAATGGTAAAAAGATTGGAAATTACAAATTATTATCTAAGATGAATGTTAAAAAATAATTTTATCATATTTTAAAACTTTGCAATGTGAAATCATGAGAGCTTAAAATGTTTAATAAAGAGAATCTTGAAAAAGAAAAACTCATCATCATTGCTTAAAATAGTTATTCTAAATCAAACTAACTATTCAGTTCCCTAAACTATCCAATACTCTGAACTATTTAAGGAATTTGAGTAATATTTCAGATGATTATAGATACAAATCTTGATAAGGTCATAACTTTACGAACATACGTTAATTTGAGAGAGACATTGGAGAGAGAATATAGCACTCGTGACCTGCCGAAAGAGATAAGTTCATTCGATGGACAACCCTTTTACTACTATGATGTAATCTTGAGACTGAATTAGGAAACCGATCCCTATCGAATAGCGATGGAATGGGTTCGAAGAGATGGAATCGAAGAAGCACGTTTCAGTTCCTTAAGGGTGCATATCAACAACTAACGGAGTTTGTACGAGGACGCAACGTCGGTATACTAGAGGAGAGATTTTCGTATCAAGATATATCAGCCCGTACGTTGAGTAATACAACAACAGTGATACGTCTTTTGAAGAAATGGACACAGGCAAACAAACAAGACAATGGGGCACGCAATAGCGCAACATCACGGAACGAGAGACACCTCATTTGCATGGCTGTGACGAACAGTACGTCATCTTCCCGTGTATTTGCACAATATTGGAGCACGGCTACAGGTGTTTTGTTGTCCAGCTCCGCGGTTCGTTGCTGTTTACTGCAGCGTCTACTGCGTGCAATAGTTCCTTTACGCAGACTTCCTCTATCACTGAATCACAAATGCCTCGAACTTCAAAGCAGCAACGTGCAACGGACTCAGCAGCAACGTGCATTTCGAGCCCTGAGGCAACAATTTGTTTTCTCCGAAGAGTTTAACTACAATCTAAAGTACAATGAAGGAAGAGTTCGCGCCGTATGCTACAGAGGAAAATGTCTGCTTCCCTAGCGTCATACCGCACAAACGCCAGATGTCATAATGTGGGCAGGTATTGGGTAAAATTGTCGATCCCATCTAAGGCAGATTGTGAACAACTTTAACAGTGATATCTTCATAAGGGAAATTCTGGAGCTAGAATTCCTCTCAATTCTTTCAGGAGCTGTATTTCAATAGGAGCTCATGCACACGTTGCAAAAGTCTTCTTCGGAGCACAATAGTTCTCACTTTTTCCATGGTTTGTTTATTCCCCAGTAATGTCACCTATATACGGGATTTAATCAGTCAGCAACTCGCTCGTACTACTGCTGGGTCACACAGTAAGATTTAAAATTGGTAAGATCAAGTAGAAGTAATATCAAGATCAAGTCAAAGACAGTAAGATCAAGTCGAAGTCTTATGAAAGTTCTTTCTTTATCTTTTAAATTTGATCATTTAGTTTATTTGTACCACTATCAGTAATATGTGGAATAAGTTTAATTAATTTCGGATAATTTCTTTTTTCATGGGGTTGCAATTTTTACAAACATCTGTGTATTTTTAGAAAACGTATATTTTTACCTACAACATTTAGTTTTTTAAAAATTATGAATGGGAATCTCAAATCAAGGCTTCTAAATGCTTCGTAATATTCAATGGTATTTTTTAATTTTTTTAAAAAATAATAGTTTTTAATATTAAATGTATAAAAAACCGTAACAAATTTCTTGTCTCAAAATATGACCTAGTTCAAAATTAGATTCAGCTGTATATATATAATAGTCTTTCGTAGCTCAAGTAAAAAATAGTGGATTGTTTATTTCCTTTGCCTTAATAATATTAGCTCAAGTATATTTAGACACAAAAATTTAAATAACCCCTAAAATGTATGAGGTATATTACGCAGTGATTATCCAATAAATGTAATTCAATATTAAGTTACAAGGTGACGGAATAATTCATTTTACGTCGCTTCGCTTCTCGCTGACAATTAAAAGAAGTGACAATATTTTGATAATTTGTTGAAACTGAAAGAAGTAGTTCTTACGTTTAGAATAGTTATCATTTTCATTAATTGAAAAAACAATTAATAAAATGATGATTGAATTCTGAGTTCTTAAGGAAATGAATAAACAAAACATGTTTCTTATCACTTGCAATAATAATTTTCAATTTTTATATTCGTTGTATATGTTTAAGAAAATAATACAATCAAACTCCGCTATAGTGAACATGATTTATAGTGAACTCCCGGATACAGTGAACGAAATGATTACTCACGTGCCTTTCCATACACATATAATATTATTTATTATGGATATAGTGAGCCAAAAGAAGAGAGAAAATTGGTTATTATTACATTTTTTCTGTCTTCGACTGATTTGTTTTCTTCATTTTTTGGTAATTTTGAAATTTCTACATAAAATACATATACCGATTTTTAAAACCATCTATTGAGTAGAATATAGCTATAAGCATTTTTTCTTGTTTGCTTCTTCCATCTCATTTTCCCAACCCTAAATAAAAACCATACCTAAATTTTCTGTACACCAAATGAAGAGTAATAAAAATAAAAGTTAACACATTTTTTATTGCTACATATTGTTTAATCATTTTTGTATTTCTTTTTATCGGTCATTTATTTAAATAATGTGTAATAAAAGGGAGCAGTGCGGAAAAAAAATTTGTTAAAATTGTTTACAGTACGGATATAGTGAACTCCCGTTTAAAGTGAACCGAAATTTCGGTCCCTTGAAGATTCAGTATAACGGGGTTTGACTGTAATTATAATAAAAAAGGGCAATTTACTGCCGTTACTCATTCAGAACGTGAAACTTTCTGTACATTTAGCGCGTGACGTTTACAAAGAAAAAAAATTTCCAAATAAAAAATAAATAAATATATAAATAAAAAAATATTGCTTGAGCATAAATGATAAATGTCAAATTTTTATTATTTATTTTTTTATTGAGAAACAAATAGGAAAAATTTGTTTAATACATCATGACATGACATGTTATGCTAAATTTTTATTTCTAATATATATTAGTCTTAAGTAACATGACATCAGTATGACATGATTTATAATAGAAATAAATTTTCTTGATCGAAATTATATTCCTTCTTAAGGAAAAAGTATAGAGGTTATATTCTTTCCCTTGATAAATTTAGTCCATTTTTATATTAAAAAAATGAAATAAATATATGTTTTAAGATTAAACTACTGTATGCGCTGCTTTTTTTAATAACTTAGAACATATTAAACTGCTCCCCAACTATTATTGAAATTCCAGGTAATTTTGGTCTATGCACGAGCATATTTCTTGAGCAACAATATTAGTCTACTATGTTTTAGTATCTCGTAAGCGAATTCGAGATCCAGAAGGTACTACGTTAGCTGTTGTCGAATGACAGCAAGCAAGGGCAGTAGACCTCTATTTGAATTTATTGTAGACATGCATGTTCTTGTTTTTTCTTGATAACTACATGCTTCGTATTTCTCTTTTTCAGCTTCATCTTCTCTGATACCTTACATGACCATTCACATGAAAGAGTTAGGAATCACAGTAGAAGAAACAGCTATAATCTACACTTTGCTACCTGTCACGCAACTCGTGTGTACTCCTTTAGCTGGTATGATAGCCGATAAACTTGGACGTTATAAAGATGTTCTAATGTTATCAGTATTATTTTCTGTCGCATTTGCAACAGCGATTTTATTTGTTCCTCCAGCTCCTGATCCAAAAGTTGAACGCCCATCCATAAATCTTAATTGTGGTCCAGTCATTTTACCTCATGTTGTTGTAGAAAAATGCTGGGGAGGACCTTGCGATGTGTTTTACACTAATCGAACCAACCCAATGCGTTTGGTTGGTTGTAGTGCCTTCTGCCCAAAAGTTTTTGATTCAGAATATAAATCTGCCGCGTCTTTGTGTAACTCAAAAGATGCATATTGTTTTATTGGAGACGATACTAGATATCCATTAATTGAAAACAATTTTACTTTGCGCATAGCATTTAAACAACCGTATCCCGAAAGATCGACTTGTTCTTATCCAGTTGCAGGTGTTGTACCAATTCAAGTTAATGATTCAGATACCGAAGAAAATTTTATACCTAGCATATGTCCCATAGTTATTCATAAAGCTAGAAGAAACTGTACAATTAAATGTGCTTTTCAACAATTACCAGATGATGATAATGGAACGTTTCCTCATATTAATCAATGTGTACGAACTGTTGGAAACCGAGTACTAACATTTTGGGTATATTTTGTTCTTCGTATATTATTTAATATATTTGCATCGATATGTCTCACACTTTTGGACGCAACAGCACTTGCCATGGTAGGAGCCCATGGTGGTCAATATGGAAGGCAAAGATTTTGGGCTATTCTGGCGCAAGCTTTATTTTCACCAGTTACCGGTTTTCTTGTTGATTTATTAACTGAACAAAAAGGTTACGCGGATTATTCACCAGCATTTCATTTTTACAATGTTTTAGCTGTTTGCACTGCGATTGCTGTATGGATGATGGACGTTGATGTACCACCACCAGCGGAGAATGTTATCAAAAACTTCCGTCGACTTTTGAAAGTACCACCAGTTATAGTATTAATGATAGTTGTATTTTGGCTTGGGGCAATGTGGGGCTTTGTTGAGTCCTTCCTTTTCTGGTATTTATTAGACTTGGGAAGTCCAAACTATTTACTTGGTCTAACTCTAACAACTGGGGCTATCGTAGGATTGCCCTTTCTCTATGAATCTGATTGGTTTGTCCGAAAAGCTGGACAAGTAAATCTTCTACTGTTAGCCCTCTTTTTTTATTTTGTTCGTTTTTTTGGTTACTCCTATATACATAACCCTTGGTGGTGCATTCCTTTTGAAGCGATGGAAGCCTTTACTTATCATCTCATGTGGGTTGCAGCAGCAACATACGGGGCTGAACTAGCTCCAAGAGGACTTTTAGCAACCATTCAAGGTTGTGTTGGTGGATTTCACTATGGAGTTGGTAAATATGAACCTTTTCATATTTTTATTGATAACTGTGTTGTAACATTATGTGTTCGATGAAATTAATTCTTGATAAATGTTTCATAAAAAATAACAATTTTAAAATTATATTGCTCATGAACTAAAGTTCATGAACTAAGTATATAAATCCAACAAGCGTTTGCGTGGGTCTAAAAAAGTTTTTTTCTTAATAAGTTTAATAGGCCTATAGAAATAAAATATTTTATATACATTTTTTACGAAATTAAAATATTCAATCATAAGATTTTTGAAATAGCAAACTTGATAACTTCAACGATATCCATCAAAATATATTTATTAATTTAATACCATACTATTGAAGCTTCGATGTTTCCGTTAAACATTAAAATTATTTCATAAAATCATCGTTTCACAAATAAATTGCATATTAAATTTTAAAAAAATCCTTAAAATTAGGAGTGTATTATTTAACTAATTAGAAATCATAAACATTGTTCCTGATTAGTAATTCACAAAATTTCGGTTACTTGCTCAAAGTTCACTAACTATAACAGAGTATCAAAACAATTAGAATGCGATTCTGACTGGAGTAGTGAAAAAGATTCAGTCATTTCTCCTCATAACTTAACCAGATCAGAAGGAACGAGTGATATGAAACATAGCATTCATAGTGATGAAACATCCCTGAGCTTACAAGCAAGAGAATTTGCAATTTTGAAATTTTTCGCTAAAGAAGATTTGAATCATTTCAAACAAAATAGTTTTTAACACACGTGACAATGGTGACTTGGAAATTCATTTTCTAAAAACTAAAGGCAGAGAGAAGTCATTCGCGTTTCATGAAAAAGTGAATGGATCTAGCATTGGTGTAAAACTTGGAGATCTAGTATTTTAAGAAAAAACATAGATTCACACATGGCCAAATTTACACATGTTCCAAGAATAAGCCATGGCATCCATACTTATTTTGTTCCATAATACTATTAAGACATACTTACGGTTGACATTTTGCGCAACGATCAGTGGTCCTACAAAACATTAAATGAAGCTTTCTCATTAGATTTGTCGGTCAAAATCTTCTTTTTCCAATAACAAACAACTAAGGTATAGATTTCAGTGAACGCATACTAAAGATCAGTAGGGGAAAGTGGGGTCAATTGTAACAGGGTACGATTGTAACAGAGCAACAATTTCGAGTGTCGGGTTCCAGATTTGGTTCCTAGGTGGCGCACAAGGCGTATAAAATAAATCTACATGTACACCCCTGCTGGCAACTATTTTTATGTACTTTTCAAAGAGTTACGTCACAAAAGATATTTTCACGCTACGTAAGTGCTTTTTTTGGTATTAGAATATTATATTGTAACAAAGTAATTTTGTTTAAACAAATTAAAATTATTAACCAAATATGTAAGTGGACAACTTTATTGACATTTCAATAAAAAAGAATTAGTTTTGTTAATTAACTAACAATGTTTTTAGCAAATGAAGCTGAACAATTGACCCCTTAAGTGTGGACAATTGTAACAAGTGCACGGCTGTCAAAAATTGTTAAAAACTTAATATAATAACATTTAAAATAAGGTATTTTTTTTTCTGGTAGAGGATAGTCTACTTTACTCGTTTGTCAATTAATACTAATAATATATTGCATTTTTTTGTTAGTTAAAAATAATTAAATAAAAAATTTTACAATTGACTCCACTCTCCCCTACCTATAAAAGAGCAAGATATGCATGTTGTACATTGAGTGTGCCTTCAAAATTACTAAAAAAGAAATTTCGTATAGGGTACAAGATTATCAACTACCTCCACCAAAAGTTAACAAGTATGAAATTGACAGGAAAAAAGTGAAGTAAGAGCAAAATCAATTAAAAGATCTTTTGCCCTTATTCAACTTTTATATAATATGACCGTAAAATTTGAAGCCTGCTTCTAAGTAGTTGATAAAAGAAAAGCAGGAAAGTGTTTTGAAACTTCTGATTCAGGCATATTATAGTTTACTAACGTTTGATTTCTCACCCGAGGGGAGAGTAAGTTGCTATCTTGAGTTAATTGCAGGAGAGGAGATCAAGAGAATGTGATTTATTTATTTCAATTTAAACAAATGAGATATTCTTTTCGATGTATATTTTACGTTGAATCGAATGGAACCAAATAAGGGTTGATAGCACAAATAGTTCAATAAATAAAAACTTCTTAATGTATAAAAAGTACAGTTTTGTACTTATACAAATTTGTAAGTCTGTCATTGCTATATAGACCAACTATTCTATGCATTTTTCATCGGTTTCTATAAATTGTTTCCGCAGAGTCCAACAAAATCAAAATTAAACCGTTAGATCTAATAATCTCCTTTGTGTGAAAGTGTGTAAGTCAAATATTACATTTTTCATTAATAAAACTTTCATCAGTCCTACCGACTTGGCTTTGCTCTGATTTGCTTCTGCGTTCAACATTACATTGGTTCAAAAATATCGCTCATCTGCTATAGTAATCTGAGTACAAAACTCTGCATTGCATACATATTGATTTTGAGTTTTTAGTTCTATCTTTTTGGATTTAATTTTAACCGATTCAGCATTTAAAAAAAACGAAATTAATAAATTAAATCGGGAATATTGCTTCAGTTGTCTAGATAAAAGTAAGTGAATTTCGCCCCCCCCCCTCCTCTGATTTCCATCAAGATGGCGACTAATATTCACCCCGGGAATCTTACTTACAATGGGGGGCCTTTAACGACTTGATCTATTTTCTGGAGATTTTCCTCTTGGTTGCAGTTGGTCGTTATTATAATGGTCATTATTATTATTATATCATTTACTTCTTTTAAAACTTGTTACCGGAATTATAAAAAAAAGAGAAAAAAAATCAAGTTTTTTTTTTCATTTAATAAAATGCCAAACAGAATGGAGGGTCGTTAAAAGCTCCTGGATTAGGAAATTAACCCCGAGAGAGGAGTCAAACATCAGTTAGTAATAGTAGACCTGGTACCAGTTGTTTCAAAACAGCTTGCAACTTTCCGCTAATTGTTTTCTTACCCATCTACTTAAGAACGGGCTTTAAAGTTGAGGACCATGTCTTATTAAATTAAATAACGTAGATCTGCGAATTGATTTTTATTCAACTTATACATTCGACTTCTTTTCCAAAAAATTTCAAACTTGATCGCTGGGAGCCGAGGTGGCTCAGGGGAAAGAACGTTCACCTTCCAATGAGTTAAACCATGCTCGAATCCCTGCGATAGCTAGTCGATGCGAATTCCGCACGCGGGTCGCACCAACCACAGTATTGACGCATATATCCTCAGTGGTAGACGGGTAATGGGTTAGAGTCACCTTACCGTCAGGCTAACAGTGGGAGGTTTTCGTGGTTTTCCTCGCCATGTAACGAAAATGAGGGTTTGTTCCATCAAAAATTCCTCACGAAGGCAAAGTTCTCCTAATACTTGATCCAGGAATTGCTTCATCCGCTGGATTGGGGTAAAAATTACATGGCTACAGAGTTGAACATATATATATATAAAACTTTGATCACTTTTGAAACCTAGAAACTTGTGTCGAAGGTTTCAATTTTTAGCAACATTAACGTCAATCTTAAGATTACGCCATTTCTTTGTTTTTTATGTACTACTTAACTAGTCACTGAAATATATGCCTTGTGGTTCACTTTTGGGACAAGTAGATTTTGACGGTTAAATGCTAGATAACAAGCCTCATTACATAGAATTTTGTATAGCCATTAACTTTCGCGCCTAGAATCAATTACAAGCATTTACATCCTGATAGTTAGTGTGGATTTTGTACGACACAAATTAAGTCTCAATACCATGGCTCTCTCTCGACAAAAAAGGTTTTCCTTTGGAGAATCAAAGTTTTATTTTCTTTAAAAATACTAAGCGACATTCAATTTTGATTCCCCAAAATGTTAAAATACTTTTTTTAAAAATATAAAATCCCCAGTTCTAATAATTTTACATGAATCCGGAAAGTTTCAACTAGAACAATAGTGTCTAGTATTCAAAACTGTATAATTTTAAAGAAAAAAAAACGCTATTTAAACATCGTCAATTAATTGTTTACTCCTTTTCCCTAGCCCAAAAAATATTTTTCTTTCGCCAACTGAAAATGAAGTACTCGCTTTTTTCACCAAACATTTAAAATTTGGCCCAGTTAATGGTGTATAAAATTTCTAAATTCAAACGAGCGAAGATTTTTTTTTCCTTCAGAGAAGCTGTATAGGTTTTCTTCACAAAAATGAAACACCTTTTTTCACTTAACCTACATACTAAATTATGCGGTAGTATTTTGTTTATTTATTTAACTTCATATTTCCAAACATTATAAAAATGCGATCGCATATTTTGTCTCGTAAATCTGACTTATGTATTACTTATTAAAAGTTATGTACTTTTACATAGAAACGCATGAACAATATAGTTTATAGTATAGAACAAAAAGTTTGCTTAAGTTATTTTAAAAACTTATTATGAAGTATTCACATAAGGCTTGAGATAAAGAATATTTTTTAAATTATTTTATGGATACATTTGCAGTGAAGTTAAAATGCTTGTAATATATTGGGGATCCGTTTTTTTAGCAACTTCGATTTAAAAATAATTAGTAGTAACTGAGTAGAATTAAAATAAATCTAATTTTTAATCAAAATCATATAAATTTTAGAGTTTAATTGAAACTTTCAGAATTAAAGAATTTATAAGATTGTGTACTTTTATTTATGAATGTTATACAGGTTCCCTTAACGATCACTTCAAAAACTTTTCAAAAAAGTAGGCACATGAAATAAGAAATTTATATTTAAGCAAAGTGTTATTATACTTATTTACAGTTTCGCATGAAGGAACAATTGAAATCTTTCAAATCAGTGATTAGGAGAGTGTCATTATACACATTAAAACCAATTTGATTGCCTGATGAAACTTCAACAACTCAACAACCTGATGAACTTCCAAAAAATTGTCTCTTATTCTCAACTTGTTTCATTTAGCAATAAAATAGGCTTTAATTATTTTAAGTCCCACCTTCCCCAATAGTGATCCGTAAGATCACAAAAGCTTTTTATTTTTTCATTTTAGTACTGAATCGTGCTCCCTTATGTGTATTTGTTTTTAATAGGGATTGCAAAAGGTCGTTGAATATGGAACACACAATATTTTTACGACATTCCAAGTGAATCCAATTTCGTATAAATTTGTATAAAAAACGAAATCAAAGCAACATATTTTTGATGTATTTAGCTCGACGCTTCTGAAAAATAAGACATTGTTACTTTTGCAAACTTTGTTAGTTTGAAATATATTTTTTGTTCGTCAAAAATTTTAAATCAATATTTCTAATTTTTTTGTAACAAATTTGTGTATTTTGTTGCAAAATATATAAGTTAATAAGCATATAAATGAAACTGATCAGTTTAAATATTTTTATTAAATTAATGTGCCACTAGTCTAATATTGCTTATTTTCATTTCATTTTCATTAAGGATTGCTTATTTTCATTTAATGTAGGTCGTGGATCGGGAAGTTTTGCTGGTGGTACAATGATGAGTAAATTTGGAGCTCGACTTGCTTTTCGCGTTATGGGTATCGCCTCAGGAGCTATGTTTATTGCTTATGGAGTTTTCTACTACGGATGGCTTCGGAAACGGGAAAGAAGAGGGAAAAAGATATCAACAGCTGAAATGGAATTAAATACTAGCAATATGGTTACAAATAATGCATCAGAAGGTAAAAAGTTCATTAAATCATTTTTGACAACCCAAATCAAAATTTTTGACGGTTTGCATTTGACAGACCAACATAATCTTGATGGTAAACATCAATAATTCCATCATGAAGCATTATATTTTCTGATGGTAACCAACATAAATAGCCATCCCCCCAAAGAGGATCCAACATAAGAATAGCTACTTATTTTGTTGGTGTGTTCATTTTTAACTATCAGAAATTTCCATAGTCTATAAAAGAAACATAAAAAAATGGTTTTGATGGTATACTCCTGATGAACCAACATGACTTTCCATTAAATCATCATGGAAATGTATTGTTGTACCATTATGGACCATCACGAATTGCCATAGTATACTAGAAATCTAATGTTGGAACGATCATGAGCAACCATCATCCCAATGTAGGAATTCGGACGGATTTATAATGGTCCAACATAAAAAAAAATTTTTTGATGTTATATTCCTGAGTGAGAACTTACAAGAATTTCCATCAAACCATCGTGGAAATGAACAGTTGGAACCATCATGGACCATCAAGGATCATCACGGACGGTTGATTCATGAGAATCAAACTTCTCTTGATGGTAAACCATCATAGTATTAAAGTAACACTTTCCAACATGGAATTATTGGCACATCAAACACCATGAACGCATAATGGAAAATGTGGGATGATGGTGACCATCAAATGATGTTGGTCTATCATCAATCACAATGAAGCTAACATAAGCTATCAAAAATTTTTAATGTGACCATCAAGAATTTTGGCTAGGGAAGTTATTATTACATCGATTTATTTCTCTCTTGGTCGGTGCACTTGATATGATTTTTTAAAATCCTTTGCAAAAACTAACAAGTATGCACAATCAGGGTCACAAATTGATATTTGACCGATAAAAAAACAGAAGCACTATCGAAATATGACAAGTCACAGTACAGGCGAATGTTGCAAACATCAAAGCAGGTTTAAACGTGCTTCTTCATGGTACTTCTAATAATCGTCCTCTCCGTTTCCACCCGCTATTCTCACTGATCTTGCTGTTAATTATATTCGTCTTCCTGTAATGTGATTCCTCAGATTACGATAACGTTTTGGTTTCTTTCATCAATGAAATGCTTATTTACAACCCCTAACAGCATGACATTTTTTAAAAAAATGATTCTAAAAATATTTATTAAGAGCGATCTTAACGGAACACCCTGTATGCATAATATCAAGAACAGATAAAAATGAACTAAATTACAAAAATATGTGCTAATGGTAATAGTGTATAGTGATGAAATTATACCGAGCTTGCATTTATAAAAGTAAGCAGGAACAATTAATTAGAAATGTTTTAATATTTTTATCAAAAATAATCACCTCTTGCTCTTGTGATATTTGAGAGAGAGAGAGAGTTATTTGATTAAAAACATTAAGCAAATGATAATTTCTCACTCCCATTTCATTTTAGTAGTGTATGGTGATGAAATTATCCCGAGCTTGTATTTACAAAAGTGGGCAGGAGCGATCATTAATCTAACGATAATTCATAGGAACGATAATTATTTATAAATGTTTTAATATTTTTTATCAAAAATAATCACCTCTTGCTCTTGTGATATGTTATTTGATTAAAAACATTAAGCAAATGATAATTTCTCACTCCCATTTCATTTTAATAGTGTATAGTGATGAAATTATCCCGAGCTTGTATTTTTAAAAGTAAGCAGGAACAATTAATTATAAATGTTTTAATATTTTTTATCAAAAATAATCACCTCTTGCTCTTGTGATATTTGAGAGAGAGAGTTATTTGATTAAAAACATTAAACAAAAGATAATTTCTCACTCCCATTTCATTTTAAAGATCAAGTTTTAAAAACTTTACCCCTTTGTATAGATACGAAGAGTTATGTTATTTACTTCTAAGTAATCACTTTGTATTAGCTCTAACAGAATTTATCGTTATGAGTCACTTATCTGAACTCCATTTCATGGAATAAATTTGGCATTATTTATTTTTAAATTGTTAAATATAATTAAAAATGTTTTTTTCTTAAACTTTATTAAATGATCTTCAAGGATGTTAATGTTAGTTTAGTGTAACTTTATTTATTGATTTTTTTTTATTGACTCTTAATTTAGTATTTCATTAAATATTAAGTTTATTAAAAGAAATATAGGTAGATATCAATATATGACTAAAATTCAGTAATTTACAATGCAAGAACAATAAAAAAATCTAGTCCTACAGTCAGCTTTCCCATCTGTTTACCTTTTTCTACTCGGTTACCTGTCATTTATCAAGCTTTTGTTTTCCTATATAATTTTAAAAAAAAGCATTTTTAGTGATTTACAGAGTAAATTTTACTGAGGAGTAAATTGTTTATTATTTCCGAAAACTTTTTTATTTAAATAGCTTTGGTAACAAAGGGGATTGCATAATGCAGATTCAAATTAATATTTTATTTATTTTCTTTTTTTATTTTTTATATATGATCCAAATATTAAAGTTCACTGCTGATTTAAGTTTTACGGACAAGTAATTCAATTATATTTGTTAAGAAAAAGAATTTCTAAATCTTCTTTAATTTGAAAATGATCCCAATATTATCAAATGTGAAGGCATTCAAACTATCCTGCGTCCCAAAAAAGATAAGAAAAATGGAAGGAAATAGAAATGCGCGGTTTGCTGCTTTCTGTTTAGGATATCAGCTATTCTTTTTACTAAGTATCCTAATTTTTTATAAAGATCATCAACAGGTGGAGCTCTTAAATTTTAAAAACTACAAAATGATGTTTTCAGAATTTCATCATTTTAAGCAACATCTTAAAGTGACGATTATTCTGAATCTGAGGATAAAATAACTAATTTTGAAATTTGGTGAAAATAAATTACTTGTTTTCTACGCACAGAACATTAAACCGAGCATTTCTATCATCTTCCACTTCTCGTTAATTGATTTTTCAAATAGGTCGTTTTTGAGATAACTATTTTACAAAAATACAAATTTTAATGCTTAGAGAAACTCACAGTTGAGAATTCCTCAAAACATTAAAATTATGAACACTTTAAAAATCCTCAAACTTTCAATGAATATCCCTAACAAGCAATACGTATGCAATTGGAAAATTTTCCAATTTTGAATAGTCGCAAACTTAATAGAATGGTTAATAAAAAAAATTCTAGCCGAAATTGCTTACAAATCAATGTAAAACATTAATCATTGATGCTGATTTTATTTACATGTTTTAAATAAGTTATTTCTTTCTTTTAGCTCGACCCAGCATTATTACTGTAGCTTTGGCACCAGATATTGACCATGGTGGGGAATCTATTAAAAATGGAAGTCATCTTAATTTTAATGAAGTGAAGAACTTACAAGACAGTAATGATGCTAGTCATTGAATAGCATCAGCATATTGTTGTTAATTTAAAACCCTGTATTTGTTTTAACTACATTTAGTGCCTTAAAGGAAGTTTTTAGTGCCTTAAAGGAAGTTTTTAGTGCCTTAAAGGAAGTTCTTAAGTTTCTCATTTCCTAAGAAAAAGAAAAGTTGCTGCAAAAGTGAATGGTTTTATTTTTTGCTTTTATTTTAGGTATCATACAAAAATATATTTTTGTCCCTTATTCGTCGAATATATAATCGTATTGTTTCATGAAAATGACCAGTATAAACTGTGCATAAAAACTGAAGCAAATTGATTTAAGAATACGCATGATTTTGATGAACTAACTTTGTATTACAAATTGTACGCAGTGCAGCTGTAATTTTCTGCATAGAATTGCAATAATCTATGCAGACCTGGAAAAAGTCTCTCATCATTATGTATTTTGATACTTTTTACGCATATTTGTGTGCTACTGAACACAAGAGACACTGTATATACTATAAAAATCAAAAACAATTTATTGATTTATCAAAAGTGATAGTGTATGTTTATAAATAGACAGTCTAAAACGTTTTATCAAAGAAGGCCAAACTTCAAGGGTTAGAACTTTCTTCACTTGTAACAAGCTTCATTAAAATTGCTTATAATCTATTGTGAAAGTAAAATCTTGTATAAAATTGTACGCATGTCATTATTATAACAACGAAAGCTTTATTGTTTTTTGTAAATATTCTCTCGCATTTAGAAAAAGTTGAATAATTTGTTATGATCTTCATTGCATATTTCATTTTGTTGATGCATGGCCAGATTTTTTGTTGATTATATTTATTTAATATTTGCTTAGTTCATTTAATTACTTTCAAAAACTATATCATATAGTAGATTTTTTTGTTCTATTTAAATGAGTTTCGAATTCAGTTTGAGTTAATTTATTTACTGAAGGAAATGTTTTCTTTTTTCCAAATGTTATTGATATTAATTTATTCAACTAAGAATATATTATAAGGAAAGAAAAATGTATGTTTTTTAATTCATATTGAATTCGTATTTAATATACAATGCATGCTGCATAAAAAATTACTTTACGAGCAAACACAGATCTAAAGGAAAACTTATAGTAATTAAGAATAAAATATAAGATTTAGAAATTGTAAGATGCCTGATGAAGATTAATAAAAAAACAGAATGAAAAGAAAGAGAAATTTTATATTCACACTAACAACAAACATCATATTTAAATACCTAGATTTGAATAATGAAAATTTATTGTTCAGTCACAAATTGTGAATCAAAAATACATTATAACAGTCAAAATACAAATTGAAACAAATAAAAAAGTAAGCGCAAGAGGTCTCGCAAAAGTTGTCGATGATGAAAAGCTTTTTAATGACCATAAATTGTATTTATTGTATTGTAAATAACTACATGTTACGTTTGAAAATTTTGCATCGTGTCAATGATAGCTTTATTTTTTTTATTTTATTTATTTATCTTTTTGTGGACACGAAATACAAACTACTGCTTTCTAAATTTTATTGCCATATTACAAATTTTGTCTTTGCTACTTTGAATTCCTTATCTCTTGAATTTTAATAATATTAGGAAAACCGTCTACACAAAAAATTAATAAATAAAAGGTTTAAAAGTCAAAACAAAATGATTCAATTGGTCTGCTAGTCTAAACCGTAGTGTGCTAAAGATAAAACGCAGAGTTTGTAATAATTTTGAAATTGCAAATAAATTATAAAGATTTTTCCCTTTCATTGAAAAATATAAGTATTTTATTTTTTTTATTTGTCGCCTATCATAATAAATTTAAAAAAATTTCTTATCCCTTAATAACGCATTGTAGACCAGTAGAAATCATTTTTCTGAAAACTTCAGTGAAAAAGTCATACAATGTATTCAAAGTCATATTCAGTTATATAATATATTCAAAGTAAATAAAAAGGTATTTTTTAATTAATATCTACTAAACAATTCAACAATTGTTAGCATAAAGAGTTATTATTTCTAATAAAAGTTGTAATAGCTGACACAAAATAGTTATTTAAGCATCCAAAAATAAAAAAAAAATCTACTTTTAGGATAAAGTAAAAGTTTAAAATAAAAATTTAAAAAGCTAGAAAAAAGTAAATAAAAGAATTTTTTTCATCCAATTGTAATGAACGTTGAATAAACCTAAATATTTTTCCCATAAACAAGTTAAAAAAATATTTTGAAAGCTGGAGTTTCTAATAAAATTTCGTTTTCAGTAACAAATCTAGACCCTATTTATTTGTAAATTTTTGTTTTTTTTATTTTTGTTTACAGCAATGAAGGATAAAATCTTAATATTTTAGCGGACTTTATGTCTTTTTAATCTTAACAACAAAATAAATTTATTAACTGTTGAAAGATTCAGTTTCTTACTGTTCATTTATTTACCTATTTATTGAAACTTTTATTGAAATTTTAAACCAAATTTGTTTAAAACACGCTTTCCACATAAAAGAACATTCTCGAAAGCAGTTCTGATCTTAATATATGTACACTTTTATCTGTATTCCTTCATTCCATATACTATCCATAAGAATGATGTAACTGAAACTTAAGATAACCGTACCACGTACATTAAGATACCGTGAACAATAAACAATTTCGATATCTTTGGAAAATATAATTGAGAGATCGTGGCGAAATCAGGGACGAAACTTTTACTCAAGGTGAAAGCCCAAAAATAAATATTTGTTTGAAATTTTTTCAAATAAAAAAGTTTAATGACATTAATGATTTTATTAACCTTATTTTTTTACATGAGAAAAATCAGATCTGAAAATAATTACGCATATATTCTCGTATTTTGAAATTTTTCAACTCAAAATTTTTTTGATTATGAATTGAAAGTTCATTGTCGACTCACTATGCAAATTTTTATAGTACGCCAAACTTAAATGATGTTACAAACTCAAAGTATCAATTTTTTAGGAAGTTTCAGATATAATAGTGTAAAACTTTATACTTCATTCCATACCTCCAAAGTAGAGTCATGATGGCTCAGGGGATAGAGCGTTCGCTTTCCAAAGAAGTGACCCTGGTGGTGACTGGTTGATACAAATTATGCTCCCGGCTAACACTGACCACAGTGCTGATGTAAAATATCTTCAGTGACAGTTATGGGTTAAAATCCCATTGCCGTCGGACAACCGTGTGATGTTTTCCTCTTCATGAAAAGCAAATACAGGTTATTTCCATCATAAAGTCCTCCACGAATGTTTGTTTATCCCAATGTATTTCATAAAAAATTAAACAAATGATTACATAAATATTTGGTGGCGAACACTTACTTTGAAAAACCCCTCTTTTGATAATATGATAAAAGTAAATATAATGAAATAAAATGATAAAAGTATTTAAACTAAAATAACAAATTTTAGTTTTGTTATTTGTCTCTTTATTTAAATTAGTATTACAAAATTCCATATAAGAATCTACTGTACGTTGACATATTGATAGTTCTTGACTTAATAAACACTTAAAATTAAATAAAGATTTAATAATCACAAAGAGAAATATTTCCTTTTTATGTTCAGAACTGAAAATAAAATGTATGGATCTATAATAAATAACCACATCTTTGACATATTTTTAAGAAAACACAGTAGTGTAAACTAAGTTTTAGTCAGTTAATACCTGAATAATAAATGTACGGAAATAAATATGAATATTCAAATAATTTTTCCTCTATAGTAAAATAATTTTCTAAGTAATACAAAAATAAGTATTCTGCTTATAAGTTTCATTTAATTAATATTCTTCTGCTTATAAATTTTACTTCTACTTATAAATTTTCTTAAAAATTTTATTTATTCTCTTCTGCTTATAAATTTTAATTATTATTAATTTTATTTAATAAATATCCAATTAAATTCTCTTGAAATTTAAAAAAAATAATTTCAAAGCCTTAATATAAATTACGGAGCGAAAATAAAAATCGATTCATCTATGAGAAAATAATGAGCTAAATCCGATGAACGTGCTTCATCGAAAAAAGCAGTAAAAATATCCGAAATTTTATATCAATATGAAATTTAATTGTAATGAAAATACCTATATGTTAACTACATTATAATCTATCAATTTAAATAAATATGTTTAAGAATAGAAGCTATTTTACAAGTTACAAACTAATTAAATCCATTCTATGAACTTCCGTGCTAACATATAAACTGCAAATAAATGTCTAAAAACGAATATAAAGGAATAAAAATCTTATTTATGAATGTAAAAGGTCCTCCTTTTATGAATTTTTCTTCACATCCGTATGCACAGGAGTATGCGATCCTTTTTAATTGAATTTTACAGTTCAAAACACATCTCAGTAATCCACCTCCATAATAAAAGACTGGGGATGTGGTTTACTTGAGGAAAAATCGTCCCTGAATCACGTGACAACGAGCTTTGTAACTAGAGTAGGAGGATTGGTTCTCTCTGTGTAAATCATTCCTCTAAGACAGTGTTTCCCAAAGTGTGGTACGCGTACCCCCAGGGGTACGGGAACAGTTTAGCAGGGGTACGCGTTCTTATGCGAAATATCTTGCAACAAACGAAAATTACAAAATTTTTTATTTAAGAACAAAGCTAGCCATGAAAATTTACGATTACGTATTTTTCTATTGTTTTGCAGAGTTAACAGTTAATAATTAGTAGTGTCAAAAGCCAGTTGTGATTTTCACTTTTTGTGCGATTTTTTATAGTAAAAAATTCATTCATTTTTTTATTAGGGGTACTCAGCTTTACGAAAAATTTAGAAAGGGTACACAAAAGTCATAAGTTTGGGAAACACTGCTCTAAGACTTTCACAGAAGAAGAAGAAAAGAAGAGAAAAAAAAACGTAACATCAAGTAAATTTTTGATCTAGTGATCAGATTTTCGAGGACTAGGAAGAAAAATGCGATCTTAGTTAAAAGGATAATCCCAAAAAACAAAAGCGGAAAGATACACTTGATTGTGTAAAAATTTAATTTGCTTAAAAAATTACAAAGTTAGAAGCTCTCAAAAACAGGCGCTTTTTCTCAAGACTTGTCAGATGTGAATGAGAAAACCAAAATAGACTGAAAACAGAAAACGTTAATTTGCTAACGAAAAAAATGGAAAAAATGGACTCGATGGTTTGGTGTTTAAAGCGAACTGAACTGTCAGTGCGATGAACTGAGGTTTGATCCCAAGTGGCGGCTTGAAGCCCATTCAGCTTCAGATCGATGGTTACCGGCTTTCCTGGAAAGTAAAGGCAACCGGTGAGCAATGCCGCCCACATTGCACCAATCATGCCATTGGTCATGAAATGATGAAGCTTTTACCACCCTAGCTCCCTGGCCCCCAATGAGCTGTTGCGAGAATGCTTTTTAACTTAAAATGAAGGTGAATACCAAAACTAGAAAAATCACGGTTGTGAGAAGCAATTCAGGGCAAGGTAAAATATCATGAAATCATGGCTCAAAATCCCCTTACCATCGAGCTAATCATCGGATATTTTCGCGGTTTTGCTCTCCAAGTAACACAAATTCAAATTAGTTCGCTCAAAAAGTCCATTACCAGGGCTAGTAAGTCCTAACGCTTAATTCAGAAGTTCCACTGTCTTCTGGGTTGGGTTCAAAATTACTAGGCTACAGAATTGAACACTGACCCGTAAGCGCAACACCGGTTTTAAAACAAAACTACAAAAAAAAATCAGGGCAAGTTGCAATTCCAAGTGCTAGGCGGAGTTAGTGAGGAACTAATGTCGCTAACTAAGGAATCAGCGATATGGAGAAAATAAGATTCCAGAGCATCAAGATGAGCTGAATTTATGCTAAAGATTCTGACAATGCTCGATAGTTGATGATTTATCGAATTCTTATGGAGGACATTTCTATCATCTTTCTAATCTAAATTTAACTGATTTGTCCTATTTAGCAATTGACAAGTTATGTAGTAAATGCTCCAACGATATTCAATGTTGATACGATGTACTTCATACGCTAACATGAAGAGTATAACTCAATAAAGAATAATGTTTGTTTTTCTTGCAATTAATCCCAGGAGCCTCCCTGGCCGAACGATATCATCGTTCCGCTAAACGGTCTGAAGCGTGGAAGTCCTCTCCATAACCCTGAATGTAACTTCGTATAGAACTTCTCTAACTTGTGCTATATGTTCTTTGAATTGAGAAGTGTTAATTAACCGTACTTGTATAGAACACACAAACCCGCTCATTTATGCGAATAAATAAATCTCCCTACCTACAGAAAAGATTTAGAAAACAGACAACATAGCTTCAGCTGTCCGAGTTTAGCATCTTTATAACGCATCATCCATTCCACTTTTCCCCTCCGTTATAATTTAGAAATAGAAAGGGATAAGAAATAATTAACCATTATCTAACTCCAAACAAACATTTAAGTAGGCCGCCACTTTTAATAAATCATAGTAGACTAAACAGGTTATGATGTATACTATCATTCTATTTGATAAAAAGCATAGTCATCGAAATCTTAAAATTACCATTAGAATGGTTAAAGGAATGATGTTTTTGTAATTTTTTCATAACTCTTCAGATTATGGCCTGACTCTTTACAGTGTATGTACTAATTTAAAAAAAAAGCTTGTAAAAATACTTTCTTCTGCTGTGGGGAGTCTGAAATTTTATGAAAATTTATGATCTAGGCAATTGAAGTCCCCATATCAAAAATGAAGACAAAAAAGAAAACCCATTCTTAGACACTATAACTAAAATTTAATTTAAGAAGATACAAAAACTCTATAAAAACCTAACAAATCGTCACTATTCAAGAAGGTAGGTGCATAAAACATCAAAACCTGCTTAATAGAAGTTAGAATCTTAAGTTTTTTTTTAATAATTTGCCTTTCAACTCTATTGCGTTTTCTTCCACAATCATATGGGATATTGGTTTGGTTTTACAGCCACCTTTCTCAACTATGATTAGGTACGACAGTTAATTAGTAGAGAAGCATCAGAAACTTATGTAAACTGGAAGAAAATTTAACATTGAAATATGATTGTAATGTTTTACTTGATTGGTTTTTAAAATAAACAAAAGAGTTCTTAAAATATAACTATACACACAGAAAAAAATTCCAATAAAATCTAAGACGCTTAAAATACAACTGAACTAAGATTTTAAACTAAGATTTAAAAACTAAGATTTTAAAATTTAATATTAAAGAGACTCTCTTCGCAAACATAAACAAAAATTTCAAACATTAAACTATTTCTAAATAATTTTCAATCTTATGACAAACGCATTCTAGGGCTAAAGCAAAAAACTTAATAAATCACCAATAAAGTACAGAAATCGACATAATACTATAGTTTCTGTTTTATAAACAAGAATCTAACTCGGGATCCAAATACTAAAAAGTATGTTCATTTTTATTTTGTATGTGTATTTCAATACATCTTTGTGCTTTTTTGCTCTAGTGTATGGAACACAAAGCATACCCTACAGTCTTTTGGGGCTTTTTAAGCCATCTGGAACATCCACACATTTTTTAAACTTTGGAGATAACTTTCTAAGCTTTTTATGAGCAACTTTTGAATTTTCTTTTTCTTTTTGAAACTTTAATCTCAATATCAGATGAAAAGGATTTAAGAATAAGTACACGAGGGAATATTTATATGATTGAAGTTTATATCTGTAACGAAATGCTACACTTAGCTTTACTTCATTCATTCAATAAACCGTGGTAATAAAGTGATGAAGTAAAACTGTAACAGCCTAGATAACAGATAAAAGCAAAATTGATCAGATTATTTGGCCGCTGATCTCTAATACTCAAAACTGTATTTCGGCAACACTCATCACTGATTAGCTTCATGAAGGTTAAAGTTCATTCATTTTCTTTTACTTCATTCTTATGGTCGAGTGGTCTCAAATTCTTCTTTAGCATGTCATCATCCCATCTTTGAAATTTCTGGAATTTTCAAAATAAAACACAAATCTTTGAACGTGATAATGAATTCAATTTTGCCTCTCTTATTTGCATACAAGTGTCCTACGCAGAAGTAAATTTGAAGATAATTATTGAGAAATGTTAGTTTTTTGACTACTGGATAAATTTCTGACAAAACGGTAAGTTCTTATGTATAGTTTTTTATTAGTATTACGTAAGATAATGCTTAATTATTGTTTTAGCTTGATTTATTCAGGTACTTTTATTATTTTCAAATAGATGTGGGTATAAGAACTGAATTAAGGTTGCTTATTCTAAAAATTATAGATTTTTTTGCTAAATACTATTTTTCTTTGTCTAATTATCACAATGACACTTTATATTTTGATCACAAATCTGTTTGTCTATTTTTTTCTCAAAATTTCATTAAAATTCACATTAAGTTTCCGTATAACTGCAGTATAAACTAATATGCAGGCTTTAATTTGATAGACTGATAGACTTGGAGAGACTGATTCAGATAAAATTCTCATGCTTTCAATTCAAATACTCGCAAATTAGAAAGAATGAATGCGAAAATTTGATTAAAATTCTGTGTATTTAAACAAATGGCCAATTCGGCTTATTTTATTTACAATACTTAAGACAAAATGGTGACAAAAACAAAATAATTCTTAACATAAAAGAGACAAGTACTAAGGTAAAAATCCATCCTTCTAACTAAGAATTCTAGTAAAATTTGGTTAAGAAGGGAAAAAAACCATTTGCAAAATTTAAGAGGTCACGAGATTTTTAAGGACCTGAGCCTCTCAGGCTTTATGCTAAATCAGACATGTCGTTTACTTGGCATTTTGAATATTTGCTTGTTGAACCATTAATATGTATCTTAGTGTTTTAAAATCTGATCATTAAATCAAAAAAAATTTAATATGATCATGAAATTTTTTGAAGTCTACTCATATAACATCTGAAAAACTACTTTTCTGAGAAAGGGGAAGAAAAAGAGGGAAAAAATAATGTATTTATCAAGGACAACAGTGTATTTACAAAACATGGTAATGATAAAATGTTTGAACCATCAGGGATGTAGCTGAAATGTTTCCGAAATGAAATGAAAAAAATGCAATGCAAAACTTTTGGACAAATAATTCTCAAACATTTTACAAATGTTAATTTCATAGATATTTATATTAATAAAAATAGAATTTTTGCATGAACTATATTTAAATATATATGAGAAATAGATTAACTTTTTTCTCCGCGTAACTGTGAATACCAAACAAGTAAATTTATATCAACAATTTTATTAGTATACTTAACGTAATTACTGCATGGAGCCAAATAAAAAGTTTTTTTTTTTAGTTTTTTAAATTTTGATTCATTTGCATTTTTTCGAACTCATCCGGAAATAAGTTCTCTTCATATGATAACATTGCGTAAATATTTTAAAAAAATCCTTGAGAAATTGGAGAAAAAAATTTGATAATATAAAATAAATAGAAAAAAATTATAACAATATATTCATATTTTTGTACTATATGAATGTTATAGCATATATGATTGATTAAATATTGGATGGAGTTGGTTCATTAACCCTTTCAGTTTACTTTTATATTATATTGAATTTTTCATTTATTAATCTTATTGTTATTTTCGGAGAATCTAACCTTGTCCTGAAGGTGTTACCTTTAAATATTTTTTATGGAATCTACAAAATATTCTCATTATAATCCATTTCTATTCCTGACAATAGAAAACTTCGCAAACATGATAATTTTAAGAAACTATAAATAGAATTTGCAGACGCGTTGAAATAACCATCACAAAATTTTTTCACGAGGCTTTGAGTAGCATTTGGAACTCATACTTTTACAAAAAAGGGCAAAATTTTTATTAGAGAAATTTTGCATAGCGTTTGCCCTACGTTAACTGCAATGCTAACCCCATTTTCTACCCTTTAGTAAATTTAAAAATGAAGTTAAATCAATATTAAACTATCTTTATTGAACCTATGACTAGTTTGAACTAAAAAATTTCAAACATTTTAATTTTGATGAACTTGTAACCCCATAAAAACTAAATGTTTTCTTATTCATTAAATGTCTCTAAATCACTTTTCTTTCCTTATGGTTATAATATATAATTTTAATATGACATGATGTGCAAACTGGATAACATGTTTATTGTTATTTACTTACAGGACTGAAAAATGCAACCTTCCAAATGCATCGACCAGAGATTATTACCAATGAAAATAGTGATGTTTGGTTGGTTTGGAGGTACATTTTTAAATTTATAATCATTATTAACTCTTTTCAATTTAACTATTTACAGATAAATAAGGACTATCTAATATATAATATTACAATAATACTTTTGAAAAATTGAAGAAGATTTAAAGAAATTTTGCTCGAGACTTCATCTATTTTCCCAGCACTAAACTGAATGCATTTTCTTGAAGCTGTCCTGTTTTCAATATTCTATTTATATGAATTAACATGTTCAAAGAAAAACATAAGAATTTTAATGATTAAATATTTCACTGTTTAATTTTCCTAACAATATTAACACATTTCCACAAACCTTTAGTTCATTGCTTGTCCAAGGTTGCTTTGGTGATTGCTGCTCTTGTAAGTAATACTGGACGATTCCACGGTTTTGATCCACACGTAGTGCATGTAACTAATATGACTGTCAAAAAAAATGTTTTAGAAATAAGTATCGATACACGAAACATCTGAATAGCAAATGGGAATACATAAAAATAATTTATCCATATTTATGTAAAAAAGGGTGTAAAATTATTACTCTAGGTCTTGCATTATTTAATCGAAAATATAATGGGTGTTTTGTCTTGATCCCACATCTGAAATTAATTTCATGTAAATTTGTCTAATGAATTATTTTTAAGTTGATAGTATACTTTAAGAAAAAAAAAGTTTAGTTAACACTTTTCATAAGGTTTTATCCATGCATAATTTATTACTTAAATTCAGATTTAATTAATTTCATTTTCTTTACTTTTCAGCATATGCTTGTGCACAACCCTATATGTCAATTCATATGAAAGAACTAGGACTAACAGTTGAAGAAACAGCAATTGTGTATACTTTGTTACCAATTACACAATTCTTATCTTCTCCAATAGCAGGTTTTATAGCAGACAGATTGGGAAAATACAGAGATGTTCTTCTTCTGTCTCTAGTAATGATAATTATTTTAGCAACTGCACTTTTATATGTTCCTCCAATAATTGACATTCAAAGTGAAACATCGCCAATATCTATATCATGTAGCAATATGAATGTAATAACAAGGACATGTAACATCTCTCAAATTAGCAATACTTCATTGACTTTACATTTAGGTTCGTGCCATTATTCAAACTGTGCCGAATCTGTATTGAGTGAAATCAGTTGGAATATGGATGTTCAAGTATCCAGAACAACAAATCCTGATGTTTGTGCATTTCATTCATCAATCATAAATTCTAGCTTAAATGTGTCATTTTCCATGTGTAATTCACAAGTAAGAAGTTCAAATTGCAGTATTACATGTGTTGATAGTAATTCCACATTTGCCATCCCATCAAATAAATTGAAAGGAGACCGTCTAGTAACATTTTATTTGTATACAGCAATTCGCATTATTTACAATATATTCTCAGCCATTGGTTTCACTCTTGTAAATTCAAGTGCGATTGCCCTTACTGAAACAACGGAGGATATGGGAGAATATGGTCGTCAAAGGTTTGTATAAGATACATTTCTTTAACTAAGATACATAGGGGAGAGTGGGGCAATTGCAACACTTTTTACTTAACTATTTTTAACTAACAAAAAATCCAATATATTATTAGTATTAATTGACAGACGAGTAAAGTAGACTATCCTCTACTAGAAAAAAAAATAAATACCTTATTTTAAATGTTATTATATTAGTTATTAACAATTTTTGACAGTCGTGCACTTGTTACAATTGTCCCCACTTACGGGGTCAATTGTAACAGTTCATAAATTCAACTAAAACATAGTTAATTATACATATTATCATAGTTGTGATATATTTTTTTATTGATCAAAATAGTAGTGATATTTTAGGAGTAAAAATAATAATGAGCAGAGACCTAAAGGGTTAAACTTTTAACTTTAAGGGGTTAAAAATTTTAATTTATGCTGTGAAAGGTGACAAATAAAATAATGCACATGCAACATAATATAAATGATATAGGAAACTATTGGTGGTTCTTAAAGAGTTAAGTAATGGTTTGTAAACATAAGATTATTTATTTTCAGCTGTTACAATCGTCCCTTTACTTATTGTTACAATTGTCCCCAAGACGCCATTTCAGCTTCATTTGTTAAAAACAATGCTAGTTAATTAGCAAAACTAATCTTTTTTTTATTGAAATGTTAATTAAGGTGTCCACTTACATATTCGGTTACTAATTTTTATTTGTTTAAACAAAATTACTTTGTTACAATATAATATTCTAATACCAAAAAAAGTACTTACGTAGCGTGAAAATATCTTTTGTGATGTAACTCTTTCAAAAGTACATAAAAATGGTTGCCAGCAGGGGTGTACATGTGGATTTATTAAATACACCTTGTGCGCAACCTAGGAACCAAATCTAGAACTCGACACTCGAAATTTTTGCTCTGTTACAATTGGCCCCACTCTCCCCTACATTAACTAATTTTTCAGTAAAATTTTTCTTTAAACTAAATTTAGCAGTCCAACCAACCATTTCATATTGGTTACTTGGACATTTAGAAACATAATAAATTAAGTAGCATGATTTTTTAAAAAATAAATGAAATAATTGCTTCGTTTCATTAAGGAATTTCTGGTGTCAGATCACTTAAAATATGTTATGAAGACTTCAGTTAAAGAGAGTCAGATGTTTTAACACACATAAAATTGATTAAGTAATAGTGTAATGTCTGTCATTTAGATGTTTAAAAAAGAGGGAAATGTCATTTTGTCCTGCAATACATTTATTTGTAAAAGGAAGCTTAGTCTCAATGCCTTTGATTCAACTGAATATATTCTATGAGACGTGATGACTCAGGAGATAGAGCATTCGCCTCACAACGAGGTGACCTAGGTTCGAACACCAGCGATGCCTGGTTGATACGAATTCGGCTCCCGACTCGCACCAACAGCAGTATTGACGTAAAATATACTCAGTGGTCGACGGATCATTAATTAAAATCTTCTTGCCGGATGCCATGGGACGTTTTCCTCTCCAAGTAACGCGAATGCGGGCTAGTTCCATCGGAAAATTCGCCCCGAAGGGTAGTTTTTCCCAATGCTTTGTCCAGAAATTCCCTTATCTTCTGGGTTGGGTTTAAAATTACAAGACTACAGAGTTGAACATCGATAGTCGTAAACTCAGAATAGTGTCGGCTGCTCAACGCCGGTTATAAAATAAAGTTTCTATATCTTTTCGTGGCATTTTGGAAAACAGAAGATATTCTTTCGTTTATGACATGAGTTCTGGCATGAGATGTAAAATCTGTATTATTACCATCTTGTTATGTATTTCTACATGCTTTTCCTAGGAGAATCAAAATAATATACAAATAAAACAACACACTGTTTTGCTATGATAAATACCAAAATTTTTATTATATGTAGTTATTTTTTTGTAATGTAATGCTAACTTAGCTGAAGGTACCTGCACCAGTTTCCTCAATCATCTTAAAGAAGAGATTTTATTTCAGTTAAACAAACCACAATAATGTGAAACCGAATTAAAATGTTAATTTAAAAATATAAGAAGAGTTCAAAACGTGTATCCGCTTTATGGTTAAATAAACATTTAGTTATAAAAATCCTTTTATTTGAAGCTTATAGTTATTGTTGAGAAAAAGACTATATAATTATCTTCAATATAAAATAAAACAAAAATGTACCTTACACGAATTTCTAACATATTAATAGCATAAATATTTACTTCTCATTTAGACTTGTTTTCAACTATGCAAAATCAAAATTATTTAAATTTTTTCTGATGATCTCTTTCCCTATGATAGATGATTGATAAAACAAAGATCAACTGCCTTTATCTGATCTTACACTTAAAAAAAACCAAGACATTTTTCATTTGATGCATTTCTGATTTTTTAAAATGACAGCTTTTTCTGGTGGTTTTTGTAGTTTACTTAACAAATTTCTTCAATAGGCTTTTACCAAGCAAATATTTTCAAACAAATTAAAAACTATAATTCTTAGATCAACTTTTATTTTCTTACTATAAAATAAATAAATATTAAGTATAATATAAAGCTGAAGAAAACTCTAATAAATAAATAAATATCTTCCATTAATTTTTTAGCAAAAAAAAAAAGTATTTCTATTAATTTTTTTAAAAGTTTATCTTTTATTAATTTTTCAACACATTGTAGTACTGGACTTAAAATTTGAATTGAAAGTTTAAGAACGAAGGTAACAAGTCAGTTTTAAAAAATCTCACCATTATAGAATTGGGGGGAAAATAAGAAATGAAAAATTTAAAAAGTTATTTTTCTCTGATTAAGCTTCATGCGACAAAATTATTCACAATCTAGCTTTTTGTTTTAATTTTAAATATTTTTTCACCAATTCATTTTGATCGTTTGTATTATTTTCAGGTTATGGGCCATGATATCAATGTCTATTTTCTCACCAATTGCTGGAATATTTATAGACTTGTACAGCACAAACGAAGATATCAATTATGCACCAGCATTCTATGCACACAATATTTTATCTCTTCTAACGTGCATCGCAGTATGGCGCTTAGATTTTGAAATGGAAGAAGCACCAAGTGGCTATGTTGATACATTCAAAACATTCTGGAAAATAATGAAAAATCCAGCAATATCATTCTTATTGATTGTTATCTTCTGGTTAGGAACTGTATGGGGATTCCTAGAATCTTTTTTATTTTGGTTTATGATTGAACTGAATAGCCCAACTTATCTCATGGGACTTACAGTTACGGTTGGTTCCCTAGTAGGAGTGCCATTCCTATACTATGCCAGATATATAGTGTCAAAAATAGGACATGCAAACATACTATCGATTGCTGCATTTATATATTTAATCCGATGCATTGGATACTCTGTTCTTGTGGATCCATGGTGGATAATGCCTTGTGAAATATTAGAAATTTTTACTTATCACCTAATGTGGGTAGCAGCAGCTACCTACGCTGCTCATTTATCTCCTCCAGGTCTTTTAGCTACAATTCAAGGTTTTATAGAAGGAGTTCATTATGGTGTAGGTAAGTATTACTACTGCTTCAAATTGCATATTAAAAATGGATTCATAAGTTTAAATTTTAAGATTTAAACTAAAAAAATTTATAAATAAAATTTGAGTTAAAATGAGTAGAAAATAAAATTCTCTAATAGTAAATTTTAAACAGCAAAACTATTTATATCAAGAGATATAAATAGTTTTTCATAAAACAATAGCCATTTTTAAATTTCAAGGAGCGTTAATTAATAATAGACTATTTTTGAATTTTAATTCAATCCTTCTTTTGTTTGCTTATTTCAGCATAATCTTTTTAGCTAGAAGTCAATTTAAAATATTACTTTTAATCAGGGAGAGACTTCGAACCATCAAGTACTTCAAGCTGATGCAATATTGATCTAGTTAAGCCGTCAAAGAGGAGCGTAAATTAGAAAGACTTTGTTCTCCTCTCTGTTTATCTCTGCCATCCACCTAGTAGATTTTCGTAGACTTTTTTTTTAAAAAAAATGGTTCTTGATTATATTTGAAAAAATACAAAAAATGAAGAAAAACTAAATTTATTCTTTAAACCCAAAATCACAGAAAAGAGATAATTTAAAATGAAGAATGAAGCCATCAGTTGACCTTTATAAGAACTACAAATTCTATCATTAAACTTTGATTAATATTAAATATTTGCATATTTAGTTTAAAGAGCGCAATAATAACACATACAAGCTTCAATGAGCAAATATACGAGTTAACTTCAATTACAAATGCCATTTTTTCTCATTAAATTTGACAATACAACATTTTCTAGCATATTTTGCATTGTAACATCCAGCTTGACTTCGGCCAAACAGACTTGGGAGACAACTGCCACTGAAGCTTGGCGTCTGATGACGTATGCTAACAACTCCTCAGTTGCCACGCTGATGATCAGCTATGCTAACTTGTCCTAACATACCACCTCTATAATGGTTCGACGACAGGGTGACCTAAAATATGCTAATTAATTAGTGCATGGGATATTTTTAATTATGAAACCAGACACAAAAACGTACTTTCTCTGAAAAAAACCTACCTTTTATCGATGGATTTGGATTGCTGACTTTAAGAAAACATGGGGAGTAGCCACAATCAGGGAAATATGGTCCCAATAGTTTGTTCAGGAGAATAGTCGAAAGTTTGAACTCCTTAATTTTGCTTTTTGCATATTTCACTATATTTCGAACTTTTTAAGCGAGTCGAAAATTTTTTGCGCACTGTTGGAAAACTCATTAATAAATTTTAATCATTATTTATTTTATAATAGTCATAAAAATTTTGAATTGTAAAATATACAATTTTTTGCCTCATTTTAAAGAATATAATTTTATAAGGCAAAATACAAAATTTGGACGAAATTCAGTCCAATAGTTCCTGAAAAATCGAATTTTAAAAAATGCAGATATTTAACATCAAGTTCTATGAGTGAAAATCCGATCATTAGATTAAAAGTTATTCAGGGTGGTTAATTTTTTTTTCGCACGGTACACTAGTAATATTTTATTTGTAATGCCTAATTAGAAAGCTAATATGAGCATTTTTCTTACAGAAAACTGCGCAACGTATGACAATATTAATCCTAATAAGTTTCCTGGAATGCCATATTTTATTACTATGAAAATAAAAAAAGTTCAAAACCAAAAGTCAGAAAACTATTTTTAAAAAATGTAACTTAAACTGTGGTGTCTTTAATTTAATATGGATATTTTTTTCCAATTTATTTATTAAAAAGAAAATAGTTTTAATTGTTGAACATTACATGTGAGACAACATTTTTCAGGCGTAGGTTCAGGAAGCCTTATTGGTGGTTTTTTAATGAGCAATTGGGGTCCACGTGCAGCATTTCAAGTTATTGGCTTAATATCTGGAATAGTTGCTGTGATATATTCCACTCTTTATTTTCTCTGGCTTAGAAAGAGGAAAGTACGACCCATCACAAGAAAAGCATCAATCAAAAGCTTTGGTAGTCAAAAGACTGGTAAGTAAAGCTAGTATTATGTCGTGCAATTGAAAAAACAACGTAAATGCTTCACGATAAATTTAGAGAAAAGTGTCTTGGCTTGACAATGATTTTTTTTCTATTGATAATGCTATGAAGCTAAAATTGAATTTCAACAAAATTTTAAAACAAAATTTATTTCTGTTTTCTTCCTCCAATAAGTAGCTCATTACACAAAGATGTCAAACACATAAAAATCTCTATCTTTGAAATTTGGTCGCTTATGTTAATTTCATAAATACATTAGCCTACAATAATGGAAGAGACACCATCAGTTTCTGACATTTTTTTTAAAAATTTCTCAAGAAATACTAAAAGGATTATTTTGTAACTTTAGAAGTGTATTCATGAGATTTTTCATACTTAGTAATAAAATTTAAAGCTTTCAGAGGTTTGAGAGACCTACTATAAATTAATTATTGATTTATTGAAATTACATACATTTGCTGACTTGTGTGCTCAATATATAGAAGATTGGATATACCTAATTCCGTGNGATAGAACAATTCAGAGAAAGACATCACAAAGAATACATCCAGGGTTACGGCGGGATTCGAACCCGCTACCTCCACGCTTAACAGAGCGTTTGGACCGGCGATACCGCTCGGCCAGGGAGGCCCCCTATAAATTAAGAAAGAAAACAAGTATTTTTGAACACCCTATGCCAGAAATAAGCTTGTAACTTATATCGACTACTTTAGTTATTTTTAATAACTGCATAAAGTTTCGTAAACCTAGAGTAAATATTTATGGAGATAAAGGCATTTTTATAAATAAAAAAAAAAATTTCGCCTTTACTTTATAGATATTCAATGGTAGGTCAATACTTTATTTACGTCTCACTAGAGCTGCACAATGGGCTATTGGCGTCGGTCTGGGAAACATCCCTGAGGATGATCTGAAGACATATGCCATCGCAATTTTGATCATTTGCAAAGAGGATGGCTCCCCTGATCTGGTAGCCTGACGACCTGCGTGTGAAGTCGAGCACTTTACTGTGGAACAGTTTAATGAGGACCGATACCACGCACCCTCGGTCCCTACACATGCTGATCAAAGTGGTCACCCACCCGCTTACCGACCGCAGCCAGTGATGCTTGACTTCGGTGCTCTACTGGGAACTGTCTTTACGATCAGTTCACTGCGGGACAGATATTCAATGGAATCAAACAAAATTTTTGGAGCAATTTAAAATTAATTACAAAATTGCCGATTTATTAAATTTCGTTAAAAACTGATTTTTGATTGAGTATTTAAGCTAGTTCTTTTATACTGCGCATGCACTGAAAAAATTTTTAGAAAGATTTTTCACAATTTTGTAGTGAATCGTATCTGGCAACTAATAAAAAAAAATGATATGAATACCTGAAAAATTTAAAAAGTTTCAAGCAATTTTCTAAGTAGTTTTTGTATTTTTCAAAAGAAAGCTCCAAACGATCAGGGGGTTTTCACAAATTTATTTTGCATTATAAGAAAAAATTTATTACAAATAATACCTTACAATAATCGTCCGGAAACTAAACTTTGATAGTATAGAGAAAGAAAACATGCAAAACTAAACATTTCTAAAGTTACACAATAATCATTTAAGTATTTCTTGAGAAATTTAATTGTTATTGTTGTTAATTTACGTCGCACTAGAGCTGCACAATGGGCTATTGGCGACGGTCTGGGAAACATCCCTGAGGATGATCCGAAGACATGCCATCACAATTTTGATCCTCTGCGGAGGGGATGGCACCCCCGCTTCGGTAGCCCGACGACCTGCGCGCGAAGTCGAGCACTTTACGGTAGAACAGTTTAACGAGGACCCATACCGCACACCCTCGGTCCCCACGCAGACTGATCCAAATGGTCACCCACCCGCACACTGACCGCAGCCAGTGATGCTTGACTTCGGTGATCTGCTGGGAGCCGTGTCTTATCGATCAGTCCACTGCGGGACTGAGAAATTTAAAAAAATGCCAAAAGCAGAGAGTCTTTTCCATTATTGTAGGGTAGTGTATACTGGGTATTTTATATTCATCTTTATTTAAATATTTTTAAAATTCATGATGAAAATGAAGTAAAAAGTAATGAGTATGCCGATTAGGGATCACAAATTAATATTTAAGCAGGAAAAAAATCTCTGTCTAAATCTATCACTATCTAATGGAAGAGGGGATTAAAAACATCAAAACATGATTTGATAGCTGAATGATACCTGGAGGTTTCTTATAATCAGTTTCTAACTCCTCTTTTTTCTCCAGCCATCAACCGATTTTGATGTTTTCAGACATGCATTCCTTAGGAGTGATTAATCGGTTTTCGTTAGAGTTCTTTTTTTTTAAAAAAAAACATTAATATCAATTTATGATTTCAATGTCTAAACCTTTTTTACTTCATATTTGAAAGAATTCTAAAAACAAATATCCATAACTATCATTATGGAACACCTTACACAGAAGGCAAAATTTTTTGATTATCACTTAGACTAGACAAATGTTTCTCAAACTGTGAGTCGCGACTCGCCAATGCACAGTGGGCCAGCATCCCAAGTTTCGTGGCCAAAATAAGTATTTCAATAAAATTTGTTTCAAAATTTGGGGGTTTCTATTTAGGGTTTTCATGTGCAGATAAATTGAATTCATAGTTGAAATTTTGAAATACACTAAAAATACCAACAACAAAAAAAACAAGATGGCGACTGAAATATGGCGAGCAAATATATATAGTACGTTCAAATAATTAAACATAGCAATAAAATTATAATAATTTTCGTAATTTTATATTAAAAATAAAAAGCAAATTATATTTCCGAAGTAATATTACAAAATAGCACAAAAACATGAGAAAAAAAAAACATAATTTTTGTTTCTCGGTATATTTAGTCCACCTTTGCAATACGGGCATGTTTTTTCGAAAGAAGAATCATCAAAGAAGACAACAACAAAAAGTTTAGCTAATTACCTCGTGGAACTTTTTGGAGAAAAGTTTCGAAAGTGATTCAAATATTGTAAAATGTCAAATAATAAGATATAAACTATAAGTTTGTCAAGAGTATTAACTAATTCAACGAATTGAAAAATTGTACTATAATTTCAGACTAATTACTTTGATAAAAATGTAACAGAAAGGTGAAATTCCTATATATATTTCTGAAATATAAATTTAAAAGTTACATTCAAAAAAAAATTTTTTTTAAACATATTTTTCACTACATTCTACTCTCGTAGGTCCTAAAAGTAAATTATAATGTTTGGAATGATTATAAATACTTAATTTGGGCGAAATTAAAGCTGCCTAAACATATTTTAGTTGAAATTCGATTTTTGACTTTTGGACAAAGATCATGGTCTTCTGGCCCCCTGTGCAATGGGTCAAGTGTAAATTTATGGTAGGTCACAAAGAGAAGCACAACCCTTGACAGAGTTTACCTTTAACACAGAAGAAGACACTGGCGTTTTTGCTGCATTTCATAACTATAAATTATTAAAATGCTAAATATATTTTTTCACTTATTTTGACCGAAATAACACAAAATAATGAAAAAAAAAAAGCATGAAAAATATGATTAATAAAAATTCTATGTCAAAGGGTTAAAAGTTAGTGAATCCCTAACCTAGACATTATGTAATTATTTCTTAAAAATAATTACATTAACGCTATATTTAGCACGATTCTTGTTATTTACCTAGTTATTGTCTTAATTTTCTTTCCAACATTCATTATGGTATTTTATTTATTGCCCTTTTTCTAAAGGAAAAAAATGTTCGACTTAGAAAGTAACATGTTTATTGCTACAAAAGATGCCCCACACCTTGAAAAAGTTGAAAGTAGTTTAGTTTCCAGCTTATTAAAACCTTTAGCTTTAAATATTTATTAATTCAGGTATGCTTTGTAAACCATTACAGCTTTACAATAGTCAGAAATAGATTAACTTCTCATAGAAACATGATTAAATCTGTAAATTTCTAAAAATATCCAACTCTTTTGCTCTTCCAATATTTTTATATCCTACTCGACTATTATACCAGTTATTGTGTACAGTGAAAACTGGCAATAGAACAGAAAGCCTTGAATTTTTACAATTTTTAGGATTTAAAAAATAACTCTTAGAAAAACGAATGTTTCGTTACAAAGTGATCTTTGTTTTTTGGTAATTTTTTTTAATGATTTAATTGTAATAGTAATATTACAGGGTCATGAAATTCTTACTTTGAATTTGTGGTTGGATATTGCTCATTATTAATTTTATTCCAATTGCTTTACTATCTCATTTTAACCAAAATGTTTGATACCGGACTTCTTGGTACCCCCTTCTCACAATTTTAAGAACCCACTTCAAGCGTGACATCATTTATGGATGAAAACATTCATACAAGTGAAACATTCTATTTTAAGTGAAAAATTCATGCAAGTTAACGAAGCATACGACATGGCTTTAATTATTTTTTTTTAATTTTCATGTCTGTAAAATATAGACATACAGAATTATTTTTTCCACATTTATGTGCAGAAGTTTAACTGGGTGTGAATAATTTCAATTTCATAGTATTAGCTGTAGTAACCAAATGTTAAATTCAGATGCCAGCAGTATTAAAATTTAATTTCTTCCTACTTACATTACATCACAGTACCTGCTACATGTTAATTTTTAAAAAATTTGATCATAAATTCCAGTCACTTAAATTCGTAGAATTTTTTTTTTTTTAAATCTGCATTCATCACTGGCATACAATGTTAAAATTAACCTCAGGTGGTATTTTATGTTACAGATAGGAAAACTTCAACCCTCTCTTCTCCTGAAGCAAATGGATCAGTGTTGCAGCAGAGTATCTCAGTCCAGGAAACATCAGCATGAATATAACGCACTTGGCAAAATTAAAATTCTTCGTAAATTTTAGAACTGATAGTAGACTTATTAGAGACAATAATAAGCATAAACCTTAATACTTGAAAGTAGGGAAATGTTTTTCAACGTTTTGAAAGACAGCATGCTCTTGTTTAATTAAATGTAAGTATTTCTGTGAAAGGGGTCTATATTCAATATACTAGGGTTGGAACTTGACCAATGGTAATATAGCTGTAGAGATGCGATGAAACGGATTAACGGAATCTAATAATGTCACTTTATATTGCATATTAGTTACATGCATTGCTTAAATCAAAGCAAATGGGTAATCACACAGACGAGAAGAACAAAGTTTTGTGTTAGCTAGCGATCAAATGTTATGGTATCTCGATGTTCTTGAAACAGGAATAACGAAATAAAAGTTTTCAATAGGCTGGCGAAGCGGGGTGGAGTCTGCCTTTCAAAACAGTGGCAACATGGTAGGGCAGGTAAAAGTTTTTAGCGAGGAACACCGATAACTGGAAAACTTGAGTCAATCATATCGTTTCAGTGTCAGTAAAAAAGAAATAGATCAATAGAACTGGGAAATGTACAATAACCACACATTCTGGACTTGAGTTCTTATGACTGACTTATTCTTAAGAGGAAGGTACAACTTATTTACTGCAAAAGAGTTCCAGAAATTCCGTAAGAGCTATCAAACGAACAGACGCTGTCAAAGGCATCCTACATCCACATTACTGGCAACGAGATGTACAAACACAATGCAGATGTAAAAATTGATATACAACAAAACTTAACATGTATCTGTTTCGCATAAGTTGTAAAGAAATAGTTGCGAATAAAACTCAGACTTTAGTAAATAATGAAAATAAATATATATATTTTTTAACTGCAGGCACATAACTTATCGTTCTTAGCTATGGAAGGTGTCAGAAGTGTTGCTCATTTTGCGATTCCTGGTGAGCCCCACCTTGCGACACGGAGGCAAGCAACATTACCCACGCCATAAATACCCCGCTCACAGGGTGGGCCGCATTTACATACACCAGAAGATAACACACAGAGAGAATTATCCATGCCCTGAGCAGGATTCAAACATACAGCCATCGGCTTCACAAAAGGCACATTAACCACTCGGCCCACTTAATAATAAATATAGCATAAAGAATTTTTATAAATAACAGTGGCTAGTTACTTTTCCCTCCCAATCGCACACTAAATTTTGAAACTGAGTAGAAAATATTTTCTGTAGTAATCACATTGTTTTTACAAGAAGACTTGATTTTACTGGCATACTAAGAATTAAAACTGTATTCAAGTCTCAAATTAAAAGCCAGAAGTTCCGATTTAAAGCTTAACAAAGATCTACGATTGATCTCAAAATAATTTCTTCGATAATAATAAAAAACAAGTTTATGCGGATTATGTGTTACGTTTTTTTTCCGAATATTGCACAGTACTTACAGTCCATTGACGGTCTTTGTTATTTGTGTATAAAATTGACATATTGTAATGTGTTTTTATGTTATGAAATTATAAATAATTTATTAAAAAACTGAAAATATTTTATTATACACTTTAGAAAAATCATTTGTTCTGAACTATATGCTAATAAAGAATGCTAAATTTTTTAATGGTTATTTTTATATTTTAAATGTTAATTTTTGTCTCATAGATTTTTTTTAAAAGAGGTAAAATTATCAATTTTACTTATTTAATTTAAATGGTTGGCAACCTGAATAGAGCAATAAGGTTAGAATGAAAGAGGTTTCTTTGAACTTTTATTCAATCACAGAAGTTAGCTTTAAAGCTTAAAATTGTGATATCAACTATTAAATTAATATTTTTATTATATATTTAAGATATTGAGGTTTTCTGTCATAATGGAATCCTATAAAATTTCAGTTTAAATAGTTTTCAATAGAATCAGAAAAAAATTTTATATTTTATGAAGCTCATTAAATTGTCTTTGAATTTGTGAATAAAACAATTTGTATTTTTTGGTTGCACTTTAAAATGATTTTACAAGAAAATTATAATTAACTGTCTGAATACTAAGACCCTAAGTAATAACTATAGCAATATCATTATTGGTACTTCAAAAACAATTCAAATCTGATATTTTTCAGTTGTTCAATTGTACAAAATTATTCTATTAAAGTTGAAGATTCTTATACTAGTTGGCAATATACAAAGATAGAATGCATACCACATATCTTAATTGCAAAAATCAGAATTACCTACTGCTTTTTAGAGTTGTTGAACTTAATATCCTTCAAGTTCTACAACATAAAAGCAGTATGTAAATAGCACTGATAAATTTGGTCAAAAAACCATAACTTTAGACGAAGTTTAAAATAATAAAAAAAAATCATGGACATCTTACTCAATCTTGTTTTTTTTTTCAAAATTACTAATTTAGTTGATTTAACATTAAAGCTTGTTTAAAGCAAAAGAGCAATGTGAAAAAAGCACAAATTAAAGTCCAGAAATGGACATACTATAGTTCTATAAACAAAAATCTTCAGTGTCTAAACTCAAAATGATGGTAAAGAAATAACCTATGCAAAGTGATTTAACCAATAGGGACAGAGGTTTCCCCATTGATTAAAACACTTTGCACATGTTTGCCTCTTTACTTCTCTACAATTATTTAGACACTGAGGAAGGTTTTTGTTTATAAAACTGAAACTATATTGTCTTTTTCTATACTTTCATTTGAGCTTTATTCATGTTTTTTTTTCTTTTGTCTACACAGCAAAGTATACCATATACGTTTTGGATTAAAGTTTGCACTGCCCATTTAATGAGTAAAATAAGGTAAAGGCTATTGTATGAGATTTTGAGGGCACTTGTCATATATTTAGGAATTATAATACATTTATTGTAATTTCTCTTCCTAATTAAAAGTCATAAGTCTTTTTTAATAAAGGTAATTAAAAAAGAATGGACTTCTCAGAAAAAAAAGAGACTTTTTAAAAATGGCATTTAGTGCAAAAATGACAATTTACTAAAATGGATTTCAGCTTCAAAATACAGGGACTTTAATAGCTGCTGTAAACACTGAAATGATGTTAAAAATTATTTGCAATTATAGATTTATATATATCTTTAGAGGACATTACATAAAATATAACTTGTGGAAAATGTAGGAACTTTTGTTTTTTAATGAAGAGTAATTTTAAATAACCTCTCTCTAGCCAGTTTGAATTATTCTCCAATGCATTATTCTTTTCATGAACAATTTACAAAAAAAACAAAAACAACTTGAACTGTTTAAAAACCATGTTGATAATGATAACATTTTAAATTAAACATACTAGCAGGTTTAAAAGCATCAGAATTTATTTCTGAAATTTTCAAATTTATAATTAATATAATGGTAAAGTTCTGAAAGGCTTGAATAAGATCATTGCTTTTCCTATTTTCAAGAAATTAAAGTTCTACAGATTAAAAAAAACAAACTTTGCCTCGATACACTTCAGTGTCATTGAGGTATGTGTCATATTATACAATTGTGAGATTATAAATGGGATTTCCCTATTCTTCAAAAATAAAGGTTTAAAAAGTCAAGCACAATGTGCAGCAAAAATCTTGATTTAACACAAAAACATTGATAAAAAAATTGGAAAAAATCAATTAAATGCGTTGATTGCCAAAATAATCCCTCTATCAAAAATATGTTAATTAACTAAAAAATGAAATCAAAAGCTTTTTTTTCTAATAAAAAAACACTGAAATCTATAAAAATAGCATGAGAAAAATTATTGCTAAGTATATTTTCATCAAACATTTTAAAGAAACCTGTAAGTTGGCATAGTACTATTTAATAGAATATACATGTCACATTATCAAAGTCAATAAAACATAAAAGATGGTAATTTTTTTTAATTAAAAGTAACAACTAAGTGTATCTTTAATTAATCATTTTACATAATATTATATATATACATAATATAATATATATACATAACCTTTCTTTATTAAAAAATGCTTTTGCTCTAGAGAACTTATTTAAAGGCAGTGAAATTAAAAATAAATAAAAAATTACATCATAAATATAAAATTTAATCTCTTGTTTTAGTGAAACTATATCAAAAAGAAACTAACATTTTCAATCATTCAATCAAAAAATCAATACTTAGATTAAGTCTTCATAAAATAATTAAAAAAGATCATTAGAAATATATTTAACATAATAAATTCTAGAAAATAAACACACATTTTGTTACAAGACAATTTCAATACTTAAATATCACAAATAATAAATTTTAGCTTATAATCCAGAATTACATAAAAAATTATGAATTCTGAATGAATTAAAAAAATAATAAAGAATGAAAATCTTACATTATCCTAAACAGAAACTAAGCTTAATTTAAATAAGACATTAATCTCAACAATTAGTACTCAAACCTAACACTGATAATTTGTTTTCAAACAAAAACAATTCTAATGTAGTCATTCAAAATAAAAATTTTATTCTGTCCAGATTCAAAATTCAAAAGTATATGTAATTTGCTTTTCATAATTAACAAAAATATTTTACAGCCCTTTTGTAAGGCATTTAAAAAAATTCCCTTACAGAAATAATAGTTGTCTTTTTGCAAGGAAATAACTACTCAGAGTTACTTGCTCTAACGTTTAATAAAAATGTAAAAATAAACTATAGTAACAAGTTATATAATATTTTTGTAAATACTTAAATATATATTACATACATTTATAATATATAATAAATTCATATCAAATATCATAAAAATTTAATTTATAACAGTAAATGCAATTGTACTTTGTTCCAACTAAACTTCGCAGCATTGTAAAAGACAAGAAATTTAACAGCACGCTTTCAGAAACAGTTCTAGGTTATTTATAAATTTAAAATATCTAAATGTGCATAAAGTTGTAAATGTACATCAAAAGAATTAAAAATTTTATTAATTAAATTTACAAGCTTTTCTGCAATAAATATATTTTTAATTTATAAATATGTAAAATGAAACAAACTTAAAGACAAAACATCATTTAAATTTTTTTTTTGGTTGTGAACTATGTTAAATAGGCACACTACAGATTTTCATAACAATGGCTGAGGATGAAGACTGTACATTTTATAGTGCGGCAAAATTAAAGAGGAACAAAGTATAACAAAAATCTCCACGAAATTTGAAATTTTCTAAAATAAACATTGACTTTACTATAAATTTAATGGTAAAACAGAAAAATCATTATCAGAATCCAAAATATCTTTTAAAGAAATACCATACAATTCCTTCCAATTATCATTCGATGAATCAATGATGGAATTATTTGTGGTTTCTTTTTGTACATCTGTTTTAATACTAACTTTTAAACCATTCTTCCAGGCTCTTAAGATAGTTTGAAACATTAAGATATGATCTCGAGAAACATTTTCAGGACACAATACCAGCAATGGCCACAAATCAGCACTAATTTTAAAGCATCTTTGGAAACTGTCAAAATGAAGTGGTTTTTCAGGATAGGTTTTTTCAAAATTTATTGAAAAAATATTTTGCAGATCACAGTATGTTCTTTGATAAGTTGAAGAAATCCAACGTATTGAGCATATAGATTCAACATACAATGGTAATGAAAGTAATCTTCTTAAGCTGAAAATATGAGAGCATGGCAAAAGGAGCAACTGAAAAAAGCTGCAAGAACATGTATTAATTGTAACAATATCTTCGGATGAACAAATGTATTTACCAGAGCCCAACTTTTTAAGGTTTTTCACTTCTAAAGAAAAATTAATTTGTTCAGAAACAAGTTCAACTGCATAGGCAGTTAACACTTTTAAATATTTATAGGTAATAGCTTGTTGATGGGCTGAAGGTTGAGAAAATATTGCTGTGAAGTTTTTGAATCTTTTCAATCTCATTTTTTCAATGCTAAAACAAAGAGATTTTATGACGCTTTCAACAGAATTGAGAGTGCTAATAACAGGTCTAATAACCTTTCTCATCACATTCAAATAAAAGTTAAAAGATTTCAAAAATATTTTAGAGTACAGTTGATTATTTAATACCCATGAATCTTTTTTCTGATGCCAAGTTTTCCGAAAATAAGTGCTGACAGCAGGTGGCATGGATTTCAGCTGTTTCAGCAACTCTGAATAATTTGATTCATCATATGAAAATATCATTTGTTCAAAAATTTTAACAACTTTATTAATATCTTCGTCGGTCATTTTACAATCAAGATTTAAGAGATCTTTTTTCAATGCTTTCATTGAATGAAAAAACGATATAAAAACTAATTTTTCTGGGAAAAGGCCTTTCAAAATTTCATTATTTCTAGCTTTTTTATCGGACATAATAACTCTTATTTTCCGCCAATTCAAGTTATGTTTCTTGAAAACATCACAAAACCATTCTAAACCAGATTCACATGATTTAAATAAACCAGCAGCAATTATTTCACAATGGCCATTGGAATCTGCACTTAAAATCAGATACAAGTTCAATTCTAAATTTACTATCTCGCAAAGTAAGTCCACACAAATGAATTCTGGATAATATTTGAAAAATTTATTCATGTATTGGTCTTGTAAATAAATATCATCATGTTGTTTACTTACATCAGGCTTAATTTCATATTGGAAATTGTACTTGTCTAATACTTCCACCACTGGCAAAAGATGTGTTGCTTCATTTGTATTAGTTGAAAATTTTGGTTCATCATCTTCAGTGAACTCATCAACTCCATATAAATCATCATACCGCTTTGCAAGATTTTTTGAAATTCTGAAATAAATTAATATATTCTTAAGTAGTAATTATGTTTTCAAAATTTCAACTGTAAAAAAATTTTCAATAAATAAAAACTCTAAACCAGTGAACTGTACACCAAATGCAAAATCAGTTTTAGTTTCTAGAGAGAGAATGAATTACAGTATTTAAATGATTTCTGTGCATTCTGTTCGGAAAAGTTTTAATATCAATGTGGGTCAGGTAAGATATGATTTAAAGTCTAGTTTTAAAACTAAGATTATGTACTACTTACCTTAAATTAAAAAAAAAAAAAAAAAACATAGAATGCATGGAAAACATCTGCATTAATTATAATTCTCAGGAAAAGTAGGAACAATTGTCACCTGATATTTATAGTAAAAATTAAGAAAGATGATAATTAATATAAATGGATGATTAATCTTAAAAAGTTTATAGATTATATTTAAATTTGTTAAGAATAAATAATTTATAGTTAATTTGTCCACGGATCATGATTAGTCATGTGTGTGAACTGATTCCCCAAACTCCCATGCTTATATTTAAATTTAAGAAAATGGCAAAAGAAAAAAAAATAGCAAAATACATTTAGATTTGTGAGAGAATAGCGAGAAAAAATAAGTGTGTCTAACAAAAATAAGATAAAGTAGAAGTGTTAGGAAAAAAAATCATTTTAATCAAAAAAATTAAAAATTATTTTAAATCTACAAAATATTCATTTAGAAAATTATGTAAAATTATTTGTGACTTAGAACAGAGAGGCACATCTATTTCTGGGAAGTGGGCCACAAAAACTACATTATATACACATTCAGGGAGCCAACACTGATATAATGTTGTAATTAAGAAACATGCATAGAACATTTAGATTGGATAAATTGATATAAATGAGTTTCAAATGTATATTGAATCTTTGGCTCTAATACAGATAAAACTCACTGCAAATTTTCAGCCCATTCCATAAATAGAATTTTTATAATGAAATGGTCACATTCTAAATTGGTAAATTAAAACAGTACCTTCATGTCTGAAAAAAAAAATCTTCCACATTCCTTTCATATTTTTTAAATATTTAAGACAGCTCAGGGGACAAGATAGAAGGCTTTGTGAGTCACCCATGGGTCATAAGGTTGTGCACCCCTGCATTAGAACAAGACATAACCTAAATGATAGTCTTATTAGAAATAATTCATGCAACATAAAAGCATACACTTTGCAGAATATTGTATGTAATTAGCATTGGGCCAAGTATATTGTCTAATTCCAAATATTATTTTAGAATTTTAGCAACCAGTTATCACTTAAATTGAAAGGTTTGAGCTTTTGTTATGCACTTGTTCTTCAGAACTTTTATTTTTTGCTATGCTTTCAGCAATCATCATTGAAGCTATTCACAGATTAAAGTCCTTTCCCTTTTCTGCTTACAAATGCTTTTTGCTTCAAGTGTGATAAAAATAAAATTATTTCACTGTCTCAATCCACTTAAAAAAAAACTATTTTTACAATTTATTATTTTCAGTTGTGTTTGGCAGTTTATTAAAGACAAGTGCTGAAATTTTAATTGGCAAAAAAAGGGTGATAAATATTACTTCCAACATGGTAGGCACAAATTCCAGTTTAACTTTAATTCTACCTAGTGGGAAATTAGCAAAATTTTGATTGATGAAACTGTATTTTGAGATAAATTCTTACAGGAGTGAGGAAATTATTAAAATTGGCATTGTCATTCAACGTATAGCTCCAATTGAAATTTGTCAGCTTTTAAACTTCTTTTGGTGATAATATCGCAATGAATTCAGTTTGTAACAATCTTTCAACCACTGAAACTTGATAACAGTATTCTCCAGCTAGTCAGAAAGTAGTTAAAATTTGAATTGCAAGATAATCTTCATAAATACAAAAAGAAAATTAATAAAATCTTAAAATTTATTTTAAAATTTAAAACAGCTAAATTAACAGCGAATCTAATATTTCTAGCAGGAAAATTTTTTGCCAAAATTTAGGATTTTCAAAAAAAAGAAATAAAAGTTTTTCCATTACCAGATAAAATTCATGATTATAAAAATGCAAAGTAACAACCAAAAAAGTAATCGAAAAATGAAATTTTTTAAAAAAAATTTAAATGTAACTAAATATTTATAAACTAAACATTAATGACATAAATAGGAAATTGAAAACTCAAATGAAAACTATAAAGAAATTCATGCTCTGCTCTCTGCCACCTCAAAGCATTCCCCAAATCCAGAAAAATTCAAAATAAAATACTCTGCCCTGAACCACTTCCTCAACTTTGCTTCCTGAGATGTCTGGTAAAGAAGAAAAAGTTAGAAAAGTTAATGACATAAAACAATCATAAATATGGTTAAAAAAAAATGAGAAAATTGTAAAATGACAGGAGAAAAGGAAGAATAATAAAATAGGAAAAAATAAATCTGTCGTAAAGTTAGTAATGCACCTTCAATGACATGCTGCATATCCAGGGGAACATAATTTACTAGGACAATTTCATGGTTACTCATGTTACATGTATTGTCCTGCTACACATAAATTTACTTATGAGTTTTTACTTTAAATTGAACTTTTGTTATGAACAACATAAAATAATGTCTACCTTTTATATTTATGCAAGAAAAACTTAGTAAATTTAGTAATAGTTTAATAGAATAGTGAATTTAAAATATGGTTATTCTTCGTATCTGAAAAGGAGGTGAGGCATTTACAAATTTGTATTAACCATTTTATTTAAACTACAAAATAAAATCTTATTCTAAACTATTTCAAGAACTATATTATATATTATTCTAAACTATTATATTAAGAAAAATTTCTGGTTATTCCTGTTACAAAAAAATTTATTATTTTTATTAAATTCCCTTTAAAAAGATTGGATGATAATGTAAAAAGTACATTATGAGAGAATTTAGTTTATATTGGTGCATTTATTTAATTTCTTTCAGCAAAAAAAGATTTTTAGAATTAATATCAGATTGAAAACTCAATTTTTTTAAATTTCGTCTCTCTTTATGTATAAAGTATTTTGTCCCAAATTTTAGGCTATTTCCAATTTCTGCCTGTATGAATCACTACGTTTACATAGCTGCTAAATTTTAAAAAAGTAAAATTTTTAAATACATTTTCTCAACTATTAAACTGATTTTGTTCAAATTTGAAGAAAAAAATCAACCACTATGTTCTACTTTTTGTGGAATTGCACAGAAGCACAAAACAGTAAATACATAACTGTTTTGGTATTTTGTAGTGCATCAAGAAGTCAATAGTGTTACTTTGGCCACACGCTTCGGGTAGAACATATCAGAGAAATTGAATAATAGAGAAACACTAATTGTTGATTCATGTGAGACTAATCACCAAACTAAGAACTTTGGGAATCCAAGTCTAGCTTTGAAGATCCTCATACAGGGCATTTCTAGTTTAAATAAATAGAAGTCTGTGATGGTTAAAAATTTATTTAAAAGATTCTAATAAGAAAATATTGAACTTTAAATAAAATGCCTGAACTAAATGTAATAAGTCATATTTGTGGATAAAAACAAAAATACAATAATATTCAAATTGACATAAATAATTCTTTAAAATATTATAAATTCTAATTATAATCAATAAATTCTTCAAAATGGCAGCAATACATTACAGTTTGTAAATATCTTCTAAATAAGTCATTTTGTAGATGTTAAAGATAAGTTTATACTTCGTTTCAGTAAAATTGCCCTCAGCTTTCAGCAAACTTTAGTAATGTGTAGTGACCGATATGTCATGTCTGTGGAGGTAACCAACAAAGCCAGCCAGAGCACAGCTAGGGAGCATAAGCGTCCAAGCATAACAAAATTGCAAATAAGTTTCGAGAAAAGTTTTCAGTTTCATAATCATAAAAATTTCATTAAATCATTTAAAAATACAAATTAGTGTCCTTATATATATTTTGAAATATTCCTGCACCGAAAATAAATTAAAACATTTTGCTGTCACTTCCATTATTTTTTAAAATACATATAAACCTTACAAAAACAACTTATCAAGAGGCTTATGTTGTAGATTAAATTAAACCTTCCATAAGAACAAAAAGATTCCTCAAAAACATAAGATAATTTATACTTATTAAGTAAAGAATTAAAAAATTTAAAGCAATTAAAAATAATAATACTTTCAATGGAAAAACGTGCTCAGCAGCAGTGAATCCAAAAGGAATTGAAACAAATGAGACAATGAAAAAAAGAAAAAAATTGGATAAATATGACAACCAAAGCTGACGACTTCAGGAGGGTACCAACTCAGGAACTCATGAAATTTTTATACTTATTGAGGAAAAAATCATTAAAAAATAATAAAACAAAAATCTTTCTAAAAGTTTGAAACCTGTAAAGTCTATTAAGAAATGAAGGGTATTGTCTCTAAATGATCATCTAATATAATTTTCTAAATTATATTTTCTTTTACATAGTTGCAAGGTAAAAATAGTAAAATGTGAAAGATAAAATAAAAATTACTAAATTTTTGCAATTAATGATAAATAAATTTATGAATAACAAGTGCACAATAGTTAAACCATTGAATAAACTCTGAAGGAGTCAAAGTTTACAGGGAAGAAAAAAAAAACTACCAAATATCTTGAGTAATACAAATTTAATAAAAAAAATATATGAGTAAGACATTTTGAAAAATTTTTTTTAATCACACTTAACACAACTTTATGCTTCATTATTCACCTCAGTTTTAGAACAGTTTGTAGGTTGAATTTGGTATTACTGAATATATCTTTTGAAAATATTTCCCATTTATATTTTCAGATTTCATACATATTTCTTGAGATATTTAATCAATTTCACATTTTACGCACACCTAGTAAGTTTACATTATATTTGCAAATGTTTTAAAAATTTTTCAAAATAATAGCAACTCAAGCCTGCACATAGAGTTAATAAAGATATATTTTAAACTTAATTAAATTCAAAAATTAAAATTTATTTTAAGATTCTTTGACTACAAATTAACACTGCTTACAATTGTAGTTATGGAACAAAATTTTGAATAACAGTTCAACTCTTAAGCATGTGCATGAGGAAGCTTTTTTTTTCACCTTTAAGAAATTTATAAATATTCATATGAGTAAGAGAATTATTTTAAGCAGTAGCTTTAAAATAAAATAATTGAAATCAAAATACATACAACATTTAAAAATGTTTGATCAGTTGATATTATATTATATCAAAATTTACTTTAAATAATGATTAAAATAAATTTTAAATGGAACCACTTTAAAGATTTTTATTTTTTAAAAACATTTTTGCCAAATTAAAAAAATTGCTAAATTTTTTTCAATTTATTATTATCTTAATATTCTTATATCATTCCTTCCTATTATAACTATCATTTTCCCTTTTTTACAATCAAAACCTTTCTTAGATAAATTTCTTGAATAAATTTTCTTACAAACTCAAGGCAACAACAATTACTGTTTAATGCAGGATGGAACAAGATATGGAGAGAGATTTTTCTATTGAATTAACACTTTACTATTAACACAAAATATTTGTCAAGAAGTTTTAATAAGCAACTCTGAATATTCTGAGATTGTTTTTAGAAAAAGCCATTGATCCTGTATGTAGGGTTGCATACAGGAATTTTTCCATCCATTGGAATTTAAAACTTTCAAACCCATTGAATTTACTTTACATTCATTAACATTAAAGAATTAAAATAAAACAATTCAAACACCTCAAAGGTAACAAAACCTATAAAACTACAGATTAAAGCTAACTGTTGACATGTCAGGAAAAAAATAATCTTATAAAAACCTCAAGTCTTATAAAAAAAATTCATATAAAGATGAAACATGATAATTTTTTTACAAAACATTATTACTAATAACAAATAAAAACAAAAGTTAACTAAAGTAACTCATAACTACAAAATTAGCTCCTTCATAAAATAATTTTAATTTATCTAAAAAAAGAAATATATAATATGCACTACTTCTTCAAACTCTTATCTCAACACTAATAAAGCTTTTTCTTGCAGTTAATTAGTACTAAAAATAATGAAACACTAAAATTTCATCATAATGTTAACAAAAATACCTATCAAAGCCCTTACGCCCACGCCTCTGAACTTTTTTAGGAACTTTAGTGATCGTCGATTTCGATTTACCGGATGCTTTTTTTTTCAAAGGCTGAAATGTTACATCTTTATCGTCTGCTTCGCTAGATGACAAATTAATTGTAGTTTGCAATGAAGTTTCTAATTCTGTCACAGTCTCCATTAAAGAAAGTGAACTGATAATCATCTACAATAATTACGAATTATGAAGCTTACAAATTACAGCCTGTCATTATTTGAAAAATACAATTATTAATTTCATATTTCTTTTGGAAAACAAAAACAAAATACGCGGATAAAAAACAATGCGAATGCCATTGGTCAGTTACTATTTACGTCATAATTTATGTTTAAAATTAGTAATTGTGTTAGAAAGAAATTATTATTATGCAAAATAAATATAAACCATCAAAAAATAAAACAAAAATAATAAGATTATGTGCGATCAGCAAGTTCAATCCCTGTAGTTGTTTTGAATTTGCCTTTATCGTTTTCTCATGGTGACGCAGAATCGAAATTTTCGACTGGTAATATTATTTTGCTCTCAATTTTCTTTTAAAAAATAAGGAGACATTTGCTTAATTAATAATTAATTGCAGCCTGAAAATCAGCTTAGTGTGCGTTGAAATCGGAATAATCAATTGTTCACAAATATTACATTTAGTTCAGGTGACAGATTAGTAGTAAAATTGAAATTAATCTGTAACTGTGAAAAATTATGTGGATCTAAAACGGGCAGAATTAAATGTTTAGTAACGAGTTAAAGAACAATTATTTTACATCAGTTGTGAGTTTGAATAAGTGAAAAATTGTATATCTAGTAGATATATATTTCAAAATTAATTTGAATTTTTTTATTGAGATACTTGATTGCTCTGAGTAAGCGTAATTATAACAGCTTTTTTCGAATTATGTTCTTATCTGTGTATATTTTTAATGTATTACATTTTAATTTCTCTTCAATAATTTAAAAATGTTAACTGTCCTTTAAGATTAAGTTTATATTTTACCTGAACATTATTATTAGGCCTACGTTTTAGTTACCCGAAATTTAAAATAGATTTTTTAAAATCTTATTAAATAGTTCTGCTTTTAAATGTTTTAAAAACTTATTTTATTGAATTGATCAGAGTCACATATTTTCTATCTTTGCCTTTAACTAAATTAAGTTCTTTTAATGTTTAAATAAATAAGAATAACGTACATTTTATATAATTCAACTGTATTTGCCATGCCAAGATTTCCAATGTGATTACACAAAGAACAAATTTACATGTTAATTAAAAAGGAATTCAACATATGTCTTGTCTTCTCAAAAGATAGTCATCATGGTTTCTTTCAATATATATTTCATTATTTAATTGTAAAAAATTCATTATATGATACAAAGACAACAACAAAGACTCAAAAATGCTCAGATGGAATATGTTTTGAAAAATGTTTGGAAAAACTATCTTAAACTAAAAGTTATTTCTATATTATTGGGATTCTTATCTGGCAATTCTATTACATACATGATGGATCCTTACGAATACTGACCTCGAAAGTAATTCCATATTTTGTTTCTCTAGAGCTGCCAAAGTTTTTGACATTTAAATTTTTACTTATATAAAGGTAGAGCTTAATTTTTTTACCTATGCCCTTTCTGTACTTAACCTATGCATAATAAAGATTTCTGAATGATTGGAAAATTCAGCTGTATATTTCTAAACAATATTATGCTAATTTGAACAAATTGCAACCATTCCATGTTCAAACTGGAAAAAAATGGATTAGGGGTTATATGTAGAATAGAAATCTATTTGTTTTCAAAAACGAAGCTCCAATATTTTGAAAAATGAAAACAAAGTGTTCTTTCATCATTTCTTGCAATGTTATTATGGATTTTAATTTCTTATCAATATTGTTGTATCATAGACAGTTATTAGTAAGTTTTAATCATAAATATATTTCATTTTTTACTTTTAATTCATTTTGTAGCATTTTTATTATTTTTACTTAAATTCATTTATCTATAAATTGTCTAGTTTGTTAAAAAATGGAAGTCAATGATCTCAAACCAAGAAGGTTAATGCCTATTAGATTAATGCTTCAGATGTAGTTTGTTTTTTTGGAGGACAGGGGTAAAATGCACAGAAAAATTAAAAAATTTTCAAACTGATATTGCTGCATTTATAGAATAACTGTTTTCTTAAGCTCTAAGTTTTTGTTTTTCAGTGTAAATTATCTCTCATTAAACTTGAACTTTCGAACTTCAAATAAATTTTTTGTATCACCTTGTTGATTATATCATTTAACTAAAAATAAAAATAATGAGCTGAATTTAGTGATCTTTAAATGAATTGAAACAATTTACCAGAAATAAATTTAATATTTATTTTGTTCCACTTGAGTTTAAAGGAAAAGGGAAGTATATATATTGTTTATTAATTAATATGATACTTTATAATGTTTCAAGATTGTTGTTCAAATGCAATTGCTACAGTTATAATTTTTTTTTAAAAATTTGCATAATTTCTTTTATTTCTGTTTTGTAAAAGTTTTCTTTTCAAGCTTACTTTTAAAGTAATTTCCTCAATTTTAGAGTAATTCAGTCAATCTCATAAATCTCCTAAAGATTTTTTCCCAATGTCCACCTGTAGAATAACCTTTCGTCATACAGGCATCTGAAGGGCAAATTTGTTGGCCGCTCTTTTATCGACACCATATTAGGGGAGCCAATGTTTCTCCCACAGTAAGGAAAAATAGTACAGAGAAGGAAAGAACATCCGTGCTTGCCCGAGATTCGAACCCAGAACCTTTCTGATGCAAGGCCAGTTCCCCTGCCCCTGCACAGGCCGGTTTTGAAAGTTAAAGTCTGTATAAAAGTTTATTGACCTTCATGTAGAACTTAATTTCGCATCAATAATATTAAAAATCATTGGTGGTCTGTTGCCCCAGAACTACTAAAATTGTATTAAGAGAGCAAAAATTTTATGCAGTTGTTTCTGGCATTAACAACTAAGCTTTCATATTCATGTTTCGAAAAGAGAAAACTAGCCTAAACTAATTTATGAGTTTACTTCTCATAAATTACCAAGTAACATTTATGGCCATTATAATATAGGATTACTATTATACTTTTATTACATTTTACATCAATATTAATACTCTACTGCAAGAGTTTATCTTGGTTACTTCATATAAGTAATTACCTGACTTCAGAAAAGCATAGTTACTCTAATTTAATTGCAGTGAAATATTCTGGAAGTAGTAGTTCAGTAGTTGGGAATATTTGTTTTATTTTTTATCACTTTAATTTACTTTTCAAACTGCAATATTGAACAAAAAAAAATTCTTATAATTTTTTTTAAAAATTTGTCTTTTTCAGATCTTTTCTGCATCATATAAACAAAACGTGTGATATTCATTCTGTGATATTCTTAATAGATGAAAATATCATAATATTATTAGTAAGTATGAAGAAGCGTAATATTTTTGTCTACTTTATTTGAATATAGTTTAATTTGAATGATCTCTAATTAAATACTTTTAATATCAATAATATAGCTCCTTTTCCCAACAAAAAACTTAACTTTATTAACCTCAATTGAATAAAGTAACAAAATGATATACTGTTTCAGATAGTAACAAACTGTCTTTGTTGCTGGCTTTATAATGGCAAGTCCTATTACATTTTTACTTTCTAATGGTGTTAAATAATACTGAATATGTTATAAATTATGCCCTGTTGTTATTTCAATCTAGAGTTTTCAATTATCATTTCATACTTTTAGATTCAGTCTATCATTGAAACAAAAGTCAACATGATTTTGTATACAGTAATTTTTGGTAAAAAGGTTACACCGTCGTGCATGCCATACCCGTAAAAAACATTTAAAATTTTCGATTATCATCGCATAGGCCACTCCACCATACACACTGCTCTTTCAATTTTAGTCACTATTGAAGAGAAATCAGGCATTTTAAGCACAAAAAAGAAAGAAAACTGAACAAACTTTGGTAGTGGCGCATCACATTTGAAAGTGAACTTAAAGATTTCCTAATATAAAATGTGTGTGCTGAAAATCCCTCGTAGAACTTTAGAAGCTTTAAAATCTTAGTGTAAAAAGAAAAGTTTAAACTGCTAAAAGGCTACAGTTGAAAGTATAGGAATAGAAGCAAAACACTTTAAGTTGATCATGTGATGCTGGTGACCTCATCAATAAGAATGGCAAGAGCTCTTTTCTCGACTAGCGTTGTTTGCCTATTCATTCACTCCTGAGAACAAATCTCACGAAATGTAGATGGAAGAAAAACATGATATGCTAAACTTGTGGCTTTGATGGCCTTATCAATGAGAACAGCCAGAATTTTTTTTTTTCTTTTCCTCTTGACAAACAGTCTTCATCCACTCCCAAGAACAATCTCTTGCTGATGATAGTTTAAATTTCCATTCGAGTTTTGTGTCTTTTCCTCATTGTCTTTTCTTTTTTTTAGCTTCACATGATTTTTTTTTAGCCAGGAGCACATTTTTTTTTTGAATCCCCAGAATAAAACTGATATTTAATTATTCTGAAGCTGTAAATTGGATTTTGTTATACACTCAGATTTGACGCCATGCAGTCTATCGTCAATCAAAAGCTTGACTTACCCCCTTTTTTTTATTAAAAAATATTAGTTAAAAATGAGAAAATTTACCATTTTATGATCAAATTGACATTGGTCCGCTATTTTCGAACATTTTTTGTAAACATTCATTTTTGATTAAATCTATAGTGAATCTACCAGAAATTACTGCTATTAGAATTATTTTTTAAAATCAATATCACTTCAAAAAAATTTTTTTATCTTAAGTAAACTTCCTTCAATGCTTGTTATTTTGTAAATATTTGAATTTTGACCCAACAGGATTCCTGAAGTTTGCAACAACCTCTTTTATCTTTCAAATATAATAGTACCCTGATTATTTTGTGATTGATCATTCAACACTTTGCTTGTATCCCTTTCAACACACCTTAAAAGTTTTCTAACACATGTTTTAACATTAATACAGCATATGTTAAATAGCTCCTGTTATGAGGACTTATCCAAAATTTGGCTTCTAGACAACAACAATTACATAGAAAACAAAAATATATTAATAATACTTATTTTATCTTATCCCATTGTTATTTTTAGTGAACAAATCGGTATTATATCTGCTTGCAAGTGAAAAGGAGGATTCTGTCTTTTATTAACTTTGGAAAAGATCACTTCATTTTAGACTTTTAGGGACAACTCATACGGAAATTTTAGATTTAATTCATTGTTGAATTATTTCTAAATTACTCACTAATTATTGTTTTTCTAATCACAAAATAATTAATTTTTTTGCATATCTTCAATATGGGAGGTTTATACTATATTAAATTGGGATGTACTTAATGTAAAAACGATACAGAAATTTGGATGTCCTGAATCCAAGGACTTGCACTTTCCGAAATCTTTCCGAATTATTAAGCATTAAAACAGTTTTATAAATGAAAGACATCCTTTGTGATAAAATTACAAACAGTAAAATTTCTTAGAACCTAAACACATAATGTCAGACAGACAAATGGCAGGGATGACAAAACGGAGATTATATAATTTGATAGTAGTTATGTATCACTCAATTAGTGATAAATATAAAGTTTGCCACAAGAGTTTAGGCACATTTGGAATTCTTCTATTATTTTCAAAATAATGCAGATTTTTCCCTAATTATTTTACTGTAAGTGTAATAAACAGATATTAGAAGATTCAAAGTAAAAGAAAAGCAATAACTAAAAAATTATAGGGTGGTGGAAATGATAAAATTCAAATTTTACTTGCCCCAAAAGTTTAGATACAAGATTATATAGATGCAGATTCTCAACAAGTTACACTTAAAAGATTTTTAAATTTTTAGCTGCCATTATGAATCCTTTGGATTATGTTTGAATTCCATTAACAGTGCCAAGGTTAAAGCAATTCATACACAAATAAATTTCTGGAATTCTGAGGTTAAAATTTGAAATTAAGACTTCAATAGCAGTGTATATAAAGAATTTCAGTCCATGGTAAAGATTGCAAACCATAATTACGATGAGAAAAATTATGAAATAAGACTTAGAATATAGAAAAAATCAAATAAGCCATATTATTTTAAAAGATCTTATTCATAGACAAACTCAGAAAATAGCAATAGCTCTGGATACATCAAAAAGCGCAAGATGACCCAAATTTCTTGTCTTTACATCATAAACTACCGAGATTAGATTGAGCCTTCAAGTATATGTTATATAGCTTTGAATGGATTAATGTGCTGTTTGGCACAAAGAAAAATGTAAATTAGTTGTTCCAGGTGGGTGGCAATAGTTATTTTTGGCATAACGTAAGAAAGATCTGAAGAAATGTATTTAGCAGACATTATGAGACTTTACCTATGATTTGGAGCTCTTCTGAATTCCATGACCAAACCAGTTTAACATTTTTGAGCATTATTGAAACTCAGTTGACAATCAAAACTCTCAGCTATTTAGCTACCTTTTAGATGTATATTAAATGGGTTGAAGTTTTCCAGCCAGACGATGCCAACATAAATAAATCTACATCTATAAAATAATGGCATAGAGATATTAACAGCAGTTATAAAATACCACCCCCATCATTGTTTTCTGATCTAAATCCATAGAAAGCATTTGTGGTATATTAATAGCTGTATATAAGAACAGAAAGCAGTACTCATCAATGCTGGAATCGAAAAAAGCCTTGAAAAACCACATGGTTTAATATTGATTTAAAAAATTTGCAAAATCTTTTCATTTTAATGGAAAATTGTGTATTTCAGTTGATTTTGAAAAAAGGAATGTCAAATCAATTATTTAAATTTTGTCTTCTCTGATTATGTATATAATCATTTGTGTCTAAACTTTTGTGGCAGTTGAAATTGGTAAAAATGTGATTATTCATTTTTTTTCTGCTTCTAGGTATTGTTTTCATTTTCAGTTGTATCATTTTCCATCTATTTTTTATGTTTTCAGTAAAATTATTTTAAAAAAATTATGCCCTATTTTAGGATTTATAGAAAAATTTTATGTTTTCCTAAATTTTTTTCTGGCACATTGTACAGTTAAAGAGTAGCAACATTAAACTTACGGTATAATTTCTTGCTTGAATGATTTTCTTGTACTATATGTATTTGCCAACGATAATTTCTTACTTTTACTTTTTCAAATTTTCTGTAGTTTTTTTTTTTTTTTTTCGTATTTTATCCATATTCCTTAAAAACCAGTAATTCAGTAATGTGCAAGTCCTGTGATGCCGAATTATTGAGGCTTTATTTACATAAAATATTTTGCATTAACTTTTTTATGCACTTTTTTTTTCTCACAACTTTACAGTGTTCCCAAAATTCTTGCCAAAATTAACACCTTGCTGGCATGTAAGGGAGGATCGATCCCAAGACAACCTGAAAAGATCATCCAAATGCTTATCCCCAAACATAGCATGTTTTTGTTAAAATTTTATTTCATTCTGTGTTGCAAACCCTCTTTCCTGTACAATTGCACTTATTGACACTCTTGAGAAATGACAATCAATGTCCTGAATTTAGGATATATGAAGAGTTTTCATATATAAAAGTATTGTCTTCACAGATTTAGGATGAATAATTTGGATATTAGAGGGGGGGGATTTAGAATAAATAATTGGGATTTAGGAAAGAATTTTATGTCTCAGCTAGTAAAAAATAATAATTTTTTAAAAAGAATTGCTGGGAGTATTTTTACTCTCTGTAAAAAAATTTTTAGGAGTGAAACTCAAATCTAATGTGTAAAATAAGCAATGTGCCTGGGTGCATTTTGACAAACTTTGTTTGAAAGGTTTACCATTTTATTTGTTGAAAATTTTAAATGTGTCTTTTTAATTCTAAAATTTTATGAAAAGTGCATTTTGTTTTCATACTTTTTGTACTTGTTTAGTGAGAAAAAAATTTTTTTTTTGCTGAGGTTAAAGTTTACTTAAGCTGCTGATATAATGGATACTGTATAAACTTTTGTTTGATATTATCTATACTTTTAGATTATGCAGAAGTTGCGTTACCTTCACACCTTTCACAAGAAATGGATGTCTACATATGCTGGTGCTAAAAAAATTGATCCTAGATTTAAAAATCCTTGTATAGAATTACAACAGTTTATTGAAACTCCCTTATTTAAAGAAAATGAAACTCCTTTCAACCCAAGTATTCAAGATATGAAAATCGCACAGAAACTTTTTATGCCAGAGAAAGGACATGAAATCAAGCATTTTGCTTCTACATCTCAAATTGAAACATTCCCTCAGCCTAATTTACCTGAGGTAGGCTCTCTATGTTATAAATAATTTTGTACAACTCTTTCAAAAGTTTTATTTTGTGTTTTAATTTGTTTCTTGCTATATTAGTCCAGAAATAATGCTATCCCCTCCCACCGCTTTATCGCTTCACAAAAATCTAAGCAAGATTAAACACCCAATTGTGTCAAGATTAGGTTTCAAGTGGGGTTAGTATTTTGGCCAGATAAAACCTATTTCTTACTAAGCATTTATAAAAACTAGAAGGAAAAAAACCCAGACGAAACTGAATAAAATGGAATCTATACCATTGTTTGTAAATAAGTATTATAAAAATATCTTAAATTTAAACAAATTAAAGTTATTGTAGTATCAAAAAGTTACTGTATATTTCCAAATGTAAGCTGAGAATTTTTAAATTTTTTTTCTAAAACTTAAGTGAGGGTCTACTTTTAAATTGGATCCACTTCCTGGAAAACTCCAGAAATACTTCTCCCTTTGTCGCACATTAGCAATAATCAGTAAATATTATGAAACATACATATAAAGCATAGAAATTCATAAAATAATAGTTGAAAACCAAATGCTTAAATTAAACAATTAAAATAGAAACATATAAAAAGGACAATTGGAAAGAAATACTATTATTTTTTAGTCTTCTTGCTTACCCATGTTTAGGTGAATGACAATACAAGAACAAACGAAATAAAGCACCTGTATAAATCAGATTTTCCATGAAGTTTAGTAAATTCCTATTCTGTGATTGGAGTGTCTGGATGTAATGCATCATCCTCACTTGGGATGTCTTCATCTATCCAATTCATCCATTTAGATCTTAGCCAATCCTTTGGCAGCTTGTTTTGTGGATTTGTTAGGGGTTTGTTTAGTGGAAGCAGATATGTTTTTTATATATATATATCCGTTGTCTTGAACCAATCCAGAAGACAAGGAAACTCCTTGATCAGTGCCCCCAGAGATATGATTTGTTATGGGAACATGGAGGATTTTGTGACTCAAGAGATTTAGCGTGCATCAGTCACCATTTTACTACATGGGGAGTTTTTGGCCGCCGAGGATCGAACCCATGAACTCTTCTTGCACATGAGCCCAGCGCCCTCAGGCATCTTTAATTGCAATTCGCTACAGTTATCCTTCATTTAATCAGTTTTATGAACTAAGAATGGGCGCTTTTTCTTTGGTCCCATGTTCTTTCTAGTCACTCTAAGGTGCCATTCTCATCTATCCAACCTTATTGTGGGCACATACTACAACTCTACTCGGAAATTTTATAAAAAGGAGAGATGATCGTTCAGTGAAATAGAGGTCAAATAAAAAAAAAAGAGAGAAATTTTTGGGGTTGCATTTTATGGTGTTGTGGTCTGTGCTTGTTTGCAGATTTTTTTTTAATTAAACTCATCACAATTTAAAGTTCTTTTCCATATAGACTTCGTATTTATATGTACGGGGATCTGATTCTTCCTCGCATTCACGGATTTCCACTTTTTTTCATATTTTTTCCGCTAGTAAAATATTTTATGAGGTATTTAATTTTCCGTGGAGCAAAAGTATTGAAGTCCTCATTCCTCCCCCTGAAGCTTCTCTAAAAATCATTTCCTTGGGATAAAACTGGTTGACCTTTATACAGGGATGAGATTTTTCTGCATTTTTCGCTATTGAAGTCCTCATTCCTCCCTCTGAAGCTTCTCTAAAAATCATTTCCTTGCGATAAAGAAAATAAGATTTTTTATTCATCTGCCTGATGGCTCGTATTTTCGAAATTCAGACGTTGTGAACCTGTTGTCTGGCGTGAAAGCAAACAACGAAAAAAATTAGAGATGGATTTGCAGTGAAAATATTTATTTGCTCATTCAATTAATCTTGTAAATTTTTATTTAATATGTCTGAACAAAAACAATACAAACAAGCCTTTTAGAGATCCAAAGTCCAGACTCTGCAAATATCTCGATTCTTATTCACGCGATTTTAATATTAATCATCAATTTTCGTATTTATCTGATTTAAAAGTTGCGCATTGCGATTTTTATTTAAGCTATTTAAGCATTGTACATTATGATTCTTATTTACGAGATTTAAAAATCCAATATTACAATTTGTATTTACGCACTGTTAAAGCCCTAAGTAGCGATTCATATTCAAGCGAGCGATGTAATGTCAAACATCGATTTTTGTATTTATACATGCTTTAAAAATTAGACATTGTGATTTGTATTTGCGCGATTCAAAAATTATGCATTGTGATTCCTATTTACATGATCTAAATTTACGCATCATGATTTGTATTTTCGCATTTTTTAAAATTCGATATAGAGTTTCATATTCATGTGATTTAAAAGCCTCATATCGGGATTCATATTCTCTCAATTTAAAATCATGCATGCGATTCATATGTTCATACAATATTAAAATTAATCATCAAGATTTATTATCACATGGCTTACAAGTTTGAAAATCGCACTTTTTTTGTCAAATTTTTGTATATATATATATATATATATATATTCATTCTTGGATTTCCTCTTTTTTACTTTCTGACTGCTCTCATCTCTGTATATATTATTACTCCCTCCACTCAACTAGGGTTGAGATTTTCCTGCTAAAACCATGAAAAAAACCTGGTAAATACTATTAACACATGTTTATTTATTTACAGACATAATGGTTTATTATTTATGACAGATTAGAATATGTATTATTTCCATATTACAGCAAATAATTATAATATAATATACATTTATATTTACACTACCCTACAATAATGGAGGAGAGGCTTTAAGTTTTTAAAATTTCTGAAGAAATACTTAAAGTATTAATTAATTGCATACAAGTTTTCATACTTAGCAATAAGATTTAAAGCTTTCAGAGCTTTGGGAGTCCGACAATATATTAGGAAAGACAATATATTAGAAAACAAGTTTGCCAGAAAATCAAGCAATAAGCTTGTAACTTGTATTGATTACTTATGTTGTTAATTGAAATTATTGCATAAAATTTCGTAAACCTGGATTTAATATTTATGGAGATATGGACAATTTTATGAAAACTTTTTTTTTTGCCTTACGTTTATATATATATATATATATAACTTTATAAATATTCAATGGAATCTAGCAATATTTATGGAGCAGTTTAAAATTAATTACAAAATTATTTATTTAAAATTTAAAAAAATCATTAAAAACTGCTTAAGATTTAAGTAATTAAGGTAATTCTTTTATAGTGTGCATGCATAGAAAAAAAAATTTAAAAAAATTTTCCTTACATTTTTAGTGAATCGTATTTGCAACTAATGAAAAGAGTTTGAATTGAATATCTTAAAAATATAAAAAGTTTCAAGCAATTTTCTATGTAGTTTTTGTACTTTTTGAAAGAAATACCTTAATTGCTTATATGGTGATTTGTAATGATTTTTTTAAATTTTTAATAAATAATTTTGTAATTAATTTTAAATTGCTCCAAGAATATTGTTTGATTTCATTGAATATTTATAAATTTATAGCAAAAAAAAAATTTCTTTTTTTTTTTTTTAAATGTTCTTAACCCCATAAATATGTTTATGACATTTTTTACAGCTATTAAAAATAACAAATGAAGTAAGCTACAAGATTTTTGCTTGAGGGAGTTCAAAACTACTTGTTTTCTTTCATAATTTATTGTAGGACTTCCAAACCCCTGAAAACTTCAAGTCTTATTGCTAAGTATGAAAAATCACATGAACTAAACATCTCTAAAGTTATAAAATAATCCTTTAAGTATTTCTTGAGAAATTTCAATTTAAAAAAAATGTCAAAAACTCAGCTTCTCTTCCATTATTGTAGGGTAGTGTCTCTGCATATCAGCAAGTAACAAACCATTGGACAAGTGATATCATATAAGCTATCACCTAAATTGTAATTCTAAAACTAATTATACACATAACCAGGTGAGGCAAATCTTTTCACTGTTAAAAACTTAGAAAACTAATATATCTATTAGATTTTCAATATGAACCAATAACCATTAATTAAAAATTAAAATCATGTTTATAAATTATATTGTTGTATATCATAACATTATTACAGCTTTATTTAAATACAGATAATAACCAGAGCTCAACTAAGAATTGTGGAATTTTATTAAGAAATAATTTTAATATTTTTTTTTTTTTNTTTTTTTTTTTTTTTTTTTTTTTTTTTTTTTTTTTTTTTTTTTTTTTTTTTTTTTTTGTAAAAGAATAATTTGAACATTTAAAATATATAGTAGTGATAAGAGTAAAAAAGGATTTATCTTACCAATCTTTTGTTATTTATGTTTATAAAATTAGATTAGGTAAAACTGTTTTTACTTATTTCACTATATGCGTCTTTAAGATCAAAATTTTCCAATTGTTCAAATGAATTAAAAGTATAAGAAATAATTTTTCTTGTAATAAGTTTTCAAAAATCAAAAGATCTACAAAAATAAATATCATTGGAATTTAAGATAAAAATTTATTATCAAGTCCGAAGACCAGACCACTGACAATATATAAATGCGCAAATGTTTTATATTGGCCAAAAGCTAGGTTAATTTATAAATCAATATATGTGAAACATTAAAAAAAATATCTATGGTCAAAGCAGGCCTCTGAGTGGTTCAAATATAAAATCAGTGGAAAGTAATATGAAAAAAGACTAGACAAATTTAGGATAGAATGTTCTTTAAAAAATAAAGCAAGAAAAAAAATTAACTTAGTTATAATTTACAAAACTAAACACCTATCTGAAAAGTTATAATTTATAGTCTGCTTAAGGAGAGAAAAAAATTTCTTAACTTAATCGAAACTAATAAACTAAAATTTGCACATTATTTTGTGCAAATTTTTAATTTTTTTTTCTTTAACTTGATAAGAATTAATGCTTTAAATAATTTAACTTAATATAGTTTCAACATCTGCATAATTTAAGAAAAAGATTTTAGAAAGGATTAACAAAAAAAAAATAATAATAATAATAATTAAATAAATACATTAAACCTTCATAATTTTAGATCTTAACATAGGTATTCATTTTGTGTAAACATTATTTATTAAAAATTTTTAAGAATTAAATTTATTGCCACAATTATAATACAAGATTAGATGATGAAAAAAAAATGAATAATAAATCAAATAAGCAATTACACGTTTTTAATGCTATATGTTATTGTTCTTCTCCTTAGTCCTGTATTCTCTTCCATGCACTACACTTCAACTATCATTAAAACTAAACAAGTTAATAACTAACGAAAATTACAAAAACATAATAAGTTTTTGCGAGATGCAAGGAAAAAATGAAGTAATGTGAAATGGTTTTTTGACTTCACTGATAACACTGAATGTTGATCTCAGTTAGCCATAAGGACATAAGATGAAGTCTGTTAGCTATAAGATGAAAAATAGGTGGCATGATAGATTGTGATCAACAAAAGTAAAGATACAATCTTTTTAAATAAGCAACAGAATTTCCAAAAATAGCAGAGGTATTTTTCTTTTAGGAATTAAGACAACGTAGCTGTTGGTTACCTACATATGTTTACAAAACAAACATTTCTGGTTAAGTTTGTAAGAACAAAAAAAATTTTTTTTTTTTACTTTTCTATATTGACACCAGGATTTAAAAAAAATGTCTTTTATTTATATCTTTTTTGAGTAATATTGCTCACTTAAACATGAAAAAAAAATGTTGCAATAGCAGAAGGTTAATAATTTTGCTGCAAGACTTTTTTTTTAATTTGTTATAAAGATACAGTTTTTGTACATTTTAATATTGGAAAATTTATTTAATATTAGCAGTGCATTTAATATTGTTATATTGAGTATTATAGAAGTCAAAAATGCTCTATAACAGAAAAATATCACGAAAAGAAGGACAAATCAGAGCAAAATATTTTTTTTAGAAATATTAAAAAATTTTTGACCCTAACAAAAATGTGCAGAATATTGGTTTCTAAAAGATATTATATAATGTTCTACAATGTTTAGGTTGGCACTGTTTTAGCAATTTTTCAAATTCTTATTTCAATACTGCCTTAAGAAATGTTTCTGAAGATGAAGAAAAAAATTATTGATGGTAACCACGGGAAAAACAGGTTTTTCCCAAGATGGTTTAATATTTTGTAGTGTAGATAAGTAGTTTCATTTAATTCTTTGAAATATTGAATAAATCAGTTATGAAAGACTTCCATAAAAAATGAAAATCCGCTTTTTACTCAAATTTTTTTAAATTTCTGACAATGTTCCAAAAATGTAGTCTTTTAGGGGTGTCCAATTATTACAGACATCTTCCTCGTAATGATAGCCACGTGTGGGACGATTTGTTTTCCCTGCAGTAGCCTCCTGAGATAGAATGGTCCTCAAGAGAAAATGGATGGAGCTTCGGCAGGTGTGCTGTTCTCTTGACGACCGCAATTTCTTCTGTAGTGCAGAAAGAATGTAGTTCTTGGTTGTTAAGTTTTAAGCAGTTTCGACCGTCGATATTTGATCTGAGGTTTTCCTCATTGGTGCGACGTGTATTAAATTTGCGTAGGGGTGCATTATAGTTCTCTTAACTTCGCTAGTTCTTGTTTTTAACTTTTCCTGTGTTTGTCCATGCATTTATTTGTTTTTCATTTACTTGTGTTCTTTTCATGTGGTGTATTGTATGATGAATGTACTTTAATGATGGAAGTCAATTTGATAGATGAACACAAAGTGCTTACTATTGATACTGCTGAACAAAATATATTCAAGTTTGATTGGTTAAATAAAATAATTAAAGTGACTGAACCTGTTAGAAACAATCTATCAGAAGATATTGAGGTGGAAGTTAGCTACTGTTTTAATTTAAAATGCCGTCGATATTTGATCTGAGGTTTTCCTCATTGGTGCGAAGTGTATTAAATTTGCGTAGCGGTGCATTATAGTTCTCTTGACTTCGCTAGTTCTTGTTTTTAACTTTTCCTGTGTTTGTCCATGCATTTATTTGTTTTTCGTTTACTTGTGTTCTTTTCATATGGTGTATTGTTGGATGAATGTATTTTAATGATGGAAGTCAATTTGATAGATGAACACAAAGTGCTTACTATTGATACTGCTGAAAAAAATATATTCAAGTTTGATTGGTTAAATAAAATAATTAAAGTGACTAAACCTGTTAGAAACAATCTATCAGAAGATATTGAGGTGGAAGTTAGCTACTGTTTTAATTTAAAATGTTTGACTGGTAATTAATTTAAAATTATGATTATTAAGCATAACATATCGCTTAAGGAAAGATTAAATTTCACTGTCTAAATGTTTCTTCCACTTTTAATATAAAATAAAAGTCTCACAGCAGAGTTAGAAGTTGTGTTTTTATATATCTTATTGATATCACAGTATTACATAGAACGCTTCCTCCCACCTTCCAGTGTCTGTGTTGTAAAATTTCAGCTTTTTTATTTTTGTCCACTTTCATGCCTGATAAATTCTTATATTGAAAACTTCTAAATTTTCTATTATTGGTATAGAAACCTGTAAAAAATCACAATTGAAAGCAGACTCATTATAGATACCTTGAAAATAATCTGATTTCTGTCCATATATAAAAATATATTTTCTCATTTCTGTTCTTAAATAAAAACATACATACAATGAAATACATTTATTGAGCAAAAGCTATATTTTGTTGTTAGAACAAACATTTTTCAAATTGTCTTATTGTGCAAATTTAAAATTATAGGTGACTTTTATTGGAAGAAGTAATGTTGGTAAATCATCATTGCTACGAGCTTTGTTTGTTAGAGTTCCAGGCCTAGTGTTAAGAACTACTAAAAAACCAGTGAGACTTGTTTTTTATATGTTAATTTGATTATAATTATATACTTTAAAATTTTGTTTTATAAAATGTCTAAACTTTCAAAAATAGCAAAATCTTAAAGCAACCACAGTCTATTTCACTTATCTGAAACTTTTCATTTACTAGTAAAATTTTTTGTTAAATGTTTAAATGTGTATCTATATTAATTATTGTTTTTAAATAGTTTTTACCATGTTTTATGGCATATCTTTCATATTAAAAATTCAAATTTCTGTTGTAAAATTCTTTTATTAATGTAGTATACCTAATTAAAACCATATTAAAAAAAATTTATGCAATTTTAATTGACTACATTACAATACTGTATCCTAGTAAAACATTTAACTTTTTGCTACTTGTGTATGATGGCAAGCAATGTAAAAAGAGGACAAATAATGTTATATAAAGAGTTTAACTTTATACATAATTTCATATTGTGAAAAAATGTGAACAATGGACTCTATTTACCTCTAGGGAGCCGACTCTCAGTTTTCATGCTACTTAAATGAGTATCTCTTTATTCATAATGTGTGTAACACAAATATTCTAGTTTTAGCTTAAATGTGTAATTCATGCAAACTGTTTCTCATACTAACTATCTCTCTCTCACTGAATATTTATTCCATTATTAAATTTTATGTAGCCTGATTTATCTTTTTACTTTGAAAAAATTTTATTCTCACTTATAGCTTACTGATACTTTTCAGCATAACTTTTTTATTTTCAGTAAAAAAAAAAATTTTATGATATAATTAATCAAGCTCAAAATAGCACTGTTCAGTTTTGTTAGTCAATTCAATTTATGTAAATTCTTTAATTTTATTTATATGTTTCGAATTTTTATTGCTTAAAGTTGTTTTTTTACGCCCTTTAAAAAAAATTTATGCAATATGAAGATTTTTTATTATTATTAGGTTATGAAAAAAATTTCAATATTTAGGCAAGTTATTTTACTTGTTCTTTTAAGTTTTCATCTAACTACAATAAATTAAATATAATTTTTATTTAAACTATAAAATTACGAGATTACAATTTCTTCAAGTTTTTTTTTTTTTTTACATGAATACTTGTTAATATATATTATGGCTGCTAATTTGTTATGCATCTGTGCCTGTTTTCCAGGGTTTTTTTTTCCAGCAACATTACCAGTAATATCTACTAATGTAGGAATTGGATTGTATTTTTGCTTGCAGATAAGTGTAATAATCAGGATAGTGGAAGGAGCAAAGGTTTTGACTTTATACTTTCAATGTTTTAGTTGATGGGCATAAATTTCTTCAGAATTCACTACAAGGATGTTTTTTTTAAAGTTAGGAACTGATTTACTTTTTTATTTTTTATTAGTGGTGTGTTTTCATATTAAATTTGAAGAGATTCGCATGTGCAAAATCTTCATCTGTTTTTATTTCAAGTATGATTGCCCACTATGAATTTGCCCGAAAATCTACTTCTGATTTTTTTTTTTTTTTTTTAAGTTTAAAGAATTATCCTTTTTTTTTCAATCTATCTACTTACATCATATCTTTCCATCTTCAGGCTTCTATCATAGCTTTCATCTCACTCTATTTGTAGCCAGATATTTTGCCTCTGTGGCCTTGTTTTTCCTATTGTTTTCAAATCATTAACAATCGTCCTTTGCCAAGAATTTTTTGTTCTTCTTTTTTAGTGTATTGCCCTGAGGGTTCCAATCAAAAACTTGCATCACTTTAAATTTTTCAGGTTTGTGTAGAACCAATCCATTTCCTCTTATATTTTTTAAATTCAATTCAATTGGTTTAGATTTCAATCTATCTACACCGCCCGGATAAATTAAGAATGCTTAAATTACTTTTGAAGTGATGTGCAGAATCTTGGCACTTCAACCAAATGTAAGATAATAATTTTTAGTTAAAAGCATTTAGTTTCGTTTTGAATAGAACTGGGAATATTGACTTTGCTGCATTATGCATTAAAAAGTAAATATGTTGTATGTGAAAAGATTAATAGGACTGTGTGGTCAAGTTCTTTTTGCTCTGCATTTACTAAAGCAATGAATAATTTTTAACTATTTTGATGAAAAGAAATTTGATGCATGCTTTATGGATGAGTCACTTCAATGTGTTTATTATTTTTTATATATACAGTGTAACGTCCCATATCCGAACGTTAATTCAAGTTCTTAAGTGAAATTAATTAAACAGGAGGTAGAAAAATAAAAATAACCATAACTACATGAATTCAAATTCAAATTGGAACAGCGCACAAGGCAGTTGAAACCAAATTCAAATCATATAAACTAGTAATAATATAAATTTACTTAAAAATAATTTAAATATAATTTAAATAAAGTTGTGTGTTTATGCTTGATTGATCCCATATCCGGACGTCCCTTTCCCGGAAGGGTCGATTTCCCGGACACTTTTTAACAATCAAAATAAACAAACATCTATCCATCTTCCCCTTTCCTTAAAAAAAAATAATAATCTTTTGACACATTTTCTCTTTTTCTAGCTTGCACTGAACCTCTGATTCATGCATCGAACCCATAAATCACCAGAAAGGGGAAGTGAAGATCTACCAAGACCATTGAGTGACCGTTAGTGACGCTCCTCCCTTGGAATGTAGGAAAAAGAGGGAGATTTGTTTTCAAAAGACCGCAACTGAGTCCCCCCCCCCCCTCCTTTCCCATGCAGGTGGCTAGTAAAAGAGGCATTTCCTGGAACCTTTTTATTGAAAGAAGAAATACTGTGGAAAAGGGTAAACGGGGCAAGCGTTAAGGTGGAGGGGGAGTCAAAATGGAAAATTTGAATAGGTCTAAAAGGATACACGTCCTTGAGAAACAAAACATTCGTTCTTCCCCATACCATGTAATATTTAGGAGGCGGGGGAAAAAGGGGGTAACATTCTCTCTTTAGCAGATTCTTTCAGTCATAGAAGAAAAAATAAAGAGAACCCGATCAGCGTGCCCCGCCTTTATGCTTGATTGATAGCCAATGATTGGAGAGAAAACAATAATTTGTTACTTCCCCACCCTCAACTTAAATGATCTCCTCTTTACACTTATTTTCTTTCACAAATAAGGAGGAAATGAATTTTTCTCCTCCATCTACCCACCTTAATGAATGACGGGAATTTCCCTTTCTTGCTTGAATCATTCTAGTTAAAAATGGCGGATTATTATTTTCATATGTCAATTTTTTTTAGTTTTCTATATTTTAAGCAATAATATTTTTTTTCTAATATTTCATGTTTTATTGATTAGATATTCTAATACTAAAACATTATTCCCCTTAAAAATAATGTTTATTTATTTTTTGCTTCTTAGATTTAGATCATTTTAAGCTTTGTTCCAGAATTTCCCCTTCCTGCTTGAATCGTTCTAGTTCAAAATGGCGGATTAATATTTTCGTAACTGTTAAATTTTTTTCGTTTTCCATATTTTCAGCAATAATATTTTTTTCTAATATTTTATATTTTATTGATTAGATATTTTAATGCTAAAACATTATTCCCCTTAAAAATAGTGTTTATTTATTTTTTGCTTCTTAGATTCAGATTGTTTATTAATTAATTTTAAGCTTTGTTTACCTTTGGGGTGTATTATACGGAAAAATCTATTATACGGACTTCTGGAAGTCCCACCGATTCCGGATACGCGACTTTACACTGTAGTATATGTTTAGCATCATTAACTAACAGTTTTGCATTTATCTTTTTGTCTTACTTATACACATACTGTGTAAAAGTTTTGTCTATATTTTTATGAAATTTGCAACATACTGGTAACAAAACTGATGCCTGGAAAATAGCATTTGATATAGATCTGCAGTTTTTTCTTGGGGAAATGCATGTTTTGTGTTGTGAAACAATGGTTGTAACGCAAGTGAGCTTTGAATTTAATTGAGTTTGCAATATTTCATTCCTTTTTTGGCATATGACGAAAGCAGCACTTAAAAAATAAGCAAAAAGTGGTTGGTGAGAAAAACACATCAAATGCTGTTGGTGTTGATGCAATAAAAATTAATTTCCTTATATAAAATGTTATCATTTTTTTAATTTTTGTCAATCATTTAATTGGTTTAGATTTGAATGTTATATAAATTTTTATTAGCATTATTTGTCCTCCTGGTTTATTTTTCAGAAAAAGGCACACTAATTAAAAATCTTGTGCTATCTTAAAAAGAAGCTAATTTCAAATAATCTAGATAATATTAAATTTCACTTTGGTTGTTTTTGAAGCTGAACAAGACAAAAATAATTTGATCCGCTATAAAATTTAATTATTTTTACTGAATTCTAGAAACAACATCGTTAGAAAAATAATCTGTTTGTTTCCTTATCAACAATTTTTTCAATGGCATACGAATTATTTTTTTTGTGTGTACCTTTAGGTTGCAACAAAAAGTTAATCTTAAAATGTATATATGATCTAGCTACACAAATGAAAAATACTGCTTGCTTGAGTTGAGCTGTTATTGAAACTGGATTCAGTAAAAGTTTAGATAATATAAGATTAATATTAGTAAAATAAAAATCACTATTGTGATAGCTTCTTTCAAAATATAATTACACACTAGCTGCCTATTATTTTCACAAAGGATCTCCTTTTTTAAATAATCAATGCAAACTAGTGTAATTACCAAAACAAAATTTAAAAAAACGTATTAGATTTTCAAATTTTTAATAGTTCTGTTCCTGTAAGACCACTTTGTTTATTGACCCCTTAATTGAACATTTGATTTAGTTATTGGTGTTTAATTTTTGCAACCTAATTCCATTAAACTCTTTACAGCATAAATTCATATACTATATATATGTGTATAGCATAATTTATTGCTAAACCCCGTCCCGCCCCCAAAGGGGGTATCCGGGTAATATGTATAACATAAATAGCTTCAACTAATCTTTTTCTGTTATTCCTTTTCTGTATATCATTTTTAAAATTTATTATAAAAAACGAAATGCCCTTTCTCGCACTTTAAAATTTACATCCTGTGTTTCAA